TCAGGCATAGAACATGTAGCAGGTACTCAAGAAAAATAGCATTCTTAGAGCTTCTCTTATTTACTTTGATTTTTGTTTTTTAGATTAACGTTGGATAGTGCATAGCACATTGTTATGAAAAATACCGTTATATGGAACTGATCATTACAATGAAATTCTTGTTTGCATTCTAAGATCATCATCTGTGCTAATTTTGCAGGATCTTGTTCGCATTGCATGATGCCTATGAGTTTGTCATGCCTTAACATTTGATGAACATGAGTTACATTGTTCGTTTATACTTTATTTGCTTTGAATTTCCTCAGGGACGACGAAAATTAAGAACCTGGATGCGAACATTGGCGCTATGGCGCTGAAACTCAAAGAAGAGGACCTGCAAGAAATTTCCGATGCTGTGCCTCTCGACGAAGTAGCCGGTGAGAAAATTTTCGAAAATATACAAGTCTCGTGCAATGGAAATTCACCAACACTCCCCGAAGGAATCCGAATTAAAGGCATAAATCATCATACAGATCAGGAAGGATTTAAATTTGAGCCAGCCCTTTGATGATATGCCTAATGTTGGAAAAATATTAGTCTTTTATGATTATTTAATTATGTAGATTTATATAGATAATATCATTTGTTCAGAAGAAAAAAAAAATATTTGAATTTTTCTTGTTAGTTTAGGATTTGAGCACAGCCCATCCGAGTTAGAGTTTCTTAGATTTTGTTCTCTATAAATATAGTTTGTACATTAGTATGATAAAGAGCGAGTCACAATGTAGTTTGTTTGGGTTATGTAGCCGTCTTGGCAGATTTGTAGTATTTCTTTGTTTTCAATAATATTCCTAGTTTTGTAGACCATTTGTTCATCCGTTGTTATGTGCACTCTGATTTTCAACTCGTAAGAGTACGGCATTTGTGTTAGTTAATAGTTTCTCTTTCTAATTAGTTAGAGAGTTGTAGGGTGTTTTTGTTACGACGATATTGGGAGAGGGAAAGTCGAACTCGAGACAACGAGACAACGAATGTAAGCTTGAATGCTCATAACCGACTATTGTAAAATTGATAAATCTTCAATTCTTAAAGTCTATAAAGTCTTACAAATATAATGTATTTCGAAGCTATAGAAAATTTTATACAGTTTATCTCCCACTTAGTATCATTGTAGGGTTAAGGCTTGAAATAGCTTCTGCCTCACATAATTGGGCAAGCTCCTCCTCCGGCAATGTCACCATAACTGTCCTTGCGAGCCCGCCTTCTGGCGCCGGCATCTTTATCATCAAACCTTCCCCTTCCACATTCCCCACATGATACGACATGTAAACCAGTTTCTCGCTTCTCAAACATAACTCCATCCACTAACGGCTGACAATCGTTCATTACGTGCTCCATGAAATGAAAATTGGGTTTAAATAATATATTGTTTCTTAAAAAAAAAAAAATATATATATATATATATAGATATAGATATATTAGTTTAACCTAAATGTCTATAACAACATATATTATGATAAATGAAATGAAAATTAGGTTTAATTAAATATAATTAATACAATAAAATTAGGAAGAAAAAGAGAAATAAAACATCAAAATATAATCAATAGATGAATTTATTAAATGAATGAGGGACGAAAATTGAATTTTAATCTAACACAATGTTATAGTTTAAAAGTCATATTTTTCAAGGATTAAAATGAAGCTTTAATACCCATTTTCTTCTATTCTTTTAATTCTTTTTATTTTATTTTTAGTTTCTTCAACCTATTTATAATTAATCTGGATAAAAGAACAGCCGCAGCGCACTAAATAAAATGAAGCTGCTGAGAATTGATAGGCTGATTTAATACATATACCAAATCCTATTTTGTTTTTGGGATTGATCTAAATTGCAGGAAACAATCAAAAGAAATCATTTGGAGAAAATTAAAGAAGAATAATATGGCTGAAGCTGAAGGGCAGGGAATAATACTATGGCCTTGCGGTATAATCCATTTAGCTAGGTTTCTAGCGATTTTTCCTGAGCATCTGCACGCATTCAATGACAAAAAATATTTGATTGTTGAATTTAATTTAACGGTTTAAACTGAGTGATTAGAGACTCTTGGATCAAATTGAAAACTCGAATATGTGTCATGCATAATGCATATAGTAGGTACTCAAGAAAAATAGCATTCCTAAAGCTTCTCTCATTTACGCTTGACTTTTGTTTTTTAGATTAACGTTTGATATTGCATAGCACATTGTCATGTAAAATACCGTTACATTAGTGTCTCGGTGAGGGAGGTGGTATCTCCGCTTCATCCCATTCATCTCGTCCCATTTTAATTAATTATGTCCCGTCTATATACCAAATGCTACCTAAATTAATAAAATAATATGATGAGTATAGAACCGTGATCAATGATGGTAGAAAGAATAGCAACATAGTTGCACAATGACATAGTCAGTGATGTAAGATAGTAACGTAATATATGGATGCTGGTAGTCAAAAGTTGCCCTAGTTATTCCCACGTGGCGTGTGACATACTTAGTGATGTCAGTCTATATATAAGGACGATCTCATGCTAACGAGGCTCTATGCTTTGCTAGAGTCGGAGGAGGAACGTTTATCGTACGCAATTTTATCCTTACTTTACAAATAAGTTGTTTACACGACTTGAATCCATAACCTTTTGGTTACAAAGGAATAACATTTCCGTTATGTCAAATACTCCCCCATGACATAGTGAGATACTTAGTGATGTCAGTATATAAAACATGCCTCTAGTAAAGGAATCACCTTCTTTGACACAGCTGATATGTATGGAACTGATCACTCCAATGAAATTCTTGTTGGCAAGGTATTATTATCTATCAATTAAGTTAGTTAATTAATTACACGAACTCTGCTAATCAGATTATCGCTATTGCTTAACAAACACTGATGAACATTGTATGAATCTTTAGGCCTTAAAGGAAATGCCGAGAGAAAAAGTTCAGTTAGCCACGAAATTCGGTGTTATAGGCATCGGACGCGGTCGTACTAAGGGGCGATCCGGAGTATGTGAGGTCGTGCTGTGAGGCGAGCTTGAAGCGCCTTGGTGTCGACTACATTGATCTCTACTACCAACACCGGGTGGATCCATCCGTGCCTATCGAGGACACGGTATGTAAATTATGTAACCCGTGTTTACTTGCATTCTTCTCTTCCTTGGTCATAAAACCGCGCAAATTTGCACTAAATATGCAACCCGAAGACTAAAATCCGATTAATTAGATACTTATTTTCTTGTTTTCTTGGAGTTCAGATGGGGGAGCTGAAGAAACTTGTGGAAGAAGGAAAGATAAAATATATTGGATTATCAGAAGCGAGCCCGGACACGATTAGGAGGGCTCATGCAGTTCATCCCATCACAGCCATACAAATGGAGTGGTCGCTTTGGACTCGTGATATCGAGGAAGAGATTGTTCCACTTTGCAGGTATATCATGTTTTCAAAAACTGATCTCTCCTAGTTCCTACTGAAGAAACCAGAGAAAACTAAGAGACTTGTTTTACTGAATATTCCTCTTCTCATTTACTTTCTTTCTTAATTACAAATGTGTTTATTAGTACATATATATAGCTGAAGCTATGCACAAGGTTTTCTCTAACAACCGTAACAAACATAACAAATCTAGGTAATTATTATTACAACCATAACAGAAATAATATCCTACACTATATGAGCTGTCATGACTTGGCATCTTTATCTTTACCTACCATACGGGACGCTTAAGTTTTGTGCAAGTGTTGGCAAATTGTAACACATTTATACGTATGCAGGGGGCGTGGCATTGGAATCGTTCCATATAGTCCTCTTGGACATGGTTTTTTCGCCGGAAAAGCGGTTTTGGAGAAAGTGGATGCTACAGCTCGGGGTGGATATTAATTTCTTCATTACATATGCGCATTGTTCTATTCTCCGCTCTGCTCACTCGGTTTTTCAAAACACAGAGCTAATTAAGCTAATTTTAAACTTAACGAAAGAAATTGATTTGTTTTCGGTGTGTAGCATGCACATCCTCGGCTGACAGGAGAGAACTTGGAGAAAAACAAACAGATATATCATCGAATCGAAAGCCTTGCTAAAAAAACACGAATGCAGTGCTGCTCAACTAGCTCTCTCATGGGTTCTCCACAGAGGAAATGACGTTGTTCCGATCCCCGGTGAGTCGACTCACTGGTTTCATTTGCATTCTAAGATGATCGTCTGCGCTAAATTTGCATGATCTTGTTTGCAGTTGCATGATGCCAATGAGTTTGTCATGTTTTAAAATTTGATGAACATGAGCTACACTGTTCATTCATGCTTTATTTGCTTCAAATTCCTCAGGGACGACGAAAATTAAGAACCTGGACGCGAACATTGGCGCTATGGCGCTGAAACTCGAGGAAGAGGACTTGAAAGAAATTTCCGATGCCGTGCCTCTGGACAAAGTGGCTGGCGAGAAAACTTTCGCGCATGCAATGCCCGTGCAATGGAAATTTGCCAACACTCCGCGAAGGAATCCGAATTAAAGGCATAAATCATCATGCAGATCAGGAAGAATATAAATTTGGGCCAGCCTTTTGATGATATGCATGATGTTGGAAAATATTAGTCTTTTATGTTTATTTAATTACTTGGATTTTTCTTGTTAGTTTCGGATTTGAGCTCAGCCCATTTAAGTTAGAGTTTCTTAAGTATCGTTTTCTATAAATATAGTTTGTACTTTAGTATGATAAACAAGTGAGGCACAATGTAATCTATTTGGGTTATGTAGCCGTCTCAGCAAATTTGTAGTTGTTATTCGTTTCAATAATATTCCTAGTTTTGTGAACTGTTTGTTATATGTACTCTGATTTTCAACTCCTAATAGTTTGGCAGTTGTGTTAGTTAACAGTTTCTCTCTCTAATTAGTTAGAGTGTTGTGGGTTGTTTTTGTTACAACGATATTGGGGGAGGGGAGTCGAACTTGAGACAACGGATGTAAGGCTGAATGCTCTTAACAAACTATTGTAAATTTGAGAAATCTTCAATTCTTAAAGTCCATAAAGTCTTACAATTATAATAAGTATTTCAATGCTATAGAAAATTTTATATAGCTTGTCTCCCACTTAGGAGCATTGTAGGGTTAAGGCTCGAAATAGCTTCTGCCTCACATAATCGGGCAAGCTCCTCCTCCGGCAATGTCACCATAACCGTCCTTGCGAGCCCGCCTTCTGGCGCCGGCATCACCATGATCAAACCTTCCCCTTCCATATTCCCCACATGATACGACACGTGAACTGGTTTCTTCTCCTTCTCAAACATAACTCCATACATCAACGGCTGACAATCGTCCAGCATGTGCTCCATGCTAACACAAGTCAACTCAGGGCCATACAGCTTAAATGGTTCTCCAAACTTATCTCCCTCTCCCTTTTGTGCTTCGAACCAATCCATTCCGGACCAAAAGTCCTCCTCCTTCTGACTCGATACATGGCGGTGCACCACCCCTACGACGTGTGCCAGCCCGTCCTCGCGCTCCAATTGCTCCACTTCCGGTACTGAAAGCAACGAAAAATGCAAGGCATTGCCGTAGTACCCGAAGGACTTCTTCTTTCGAAAGTCTATGCAAACTGAGAAGGAGTGTTTGGTCTTGCTCTCCGAGGGCTTCAAGCGTGCAATTTGCGTCCAAAACATTGCAGCAAGCAGATCAAATGGAGTGGCACCAGGGCATGAGTTTAGTTCTCGCTTGATCGTGGAATTGGAAAACTTGAATGTGGCTGTCCCCATTTTCTTCACAGGCAAGGAAGTAGTCTTTGATGCCACGGACTTGGCTTCATAATAGGCAGCTGATGATTTTTTGTTTATGACCTGATCAACGGGCCGTCCCCCAAGGGCTGATGACTCGTCGACGAAAAGCGGATGTGAAATCGCTTCTCGGCGGTGAGTCTCAGCCCACGACTTGATGAGTAGGGTGGCACAAGTTGGGTCAGCATGCATGTGAGTGCAACTTAGTCCAATTGCTACACCTCCTCCTTCAAATTCATTTATCTGCAAAATCAAACAAGATTCATGTGTTTTAGTAGTTTGCATTTTTTAGTAAAAAGGATATTTATACTAAAAATAAATAAAAAAAATTAAACTCGAAAAGCAATGATGACTTAAAGAGAAATGTCATCATCACCAGACAATCTACCTTTTTCAAATTTTCAAATTTTGTTTAAATGGTTGTTGTGTTGTGATGTAAATTGCGATCGATGTGATTTAGTGCATTGACCATATAAACTTTAAAAGTTGTGGTCCACAAAATTATTATTTGTTGGCGCGCCATTATTTTGAAGTTAGACTCAGTTGGGTGACATAGGTTTGGTCTATGGAGAGGGAGAAATTTTTTATTATGACAGAAATACAAATGATACATTACGTGTTTTAAGAGAACTAGTGAGAAATTTTAAGTTATTAACTTTTTAGCACACTTATTTTACCATTTGTATAATGACATATGGTGTACCATCCTATGTACCAATCACACTGAAAAATCTCTCATATGGAGTGCTATCAATTTTTGTACTAACTTTTGTATTTAAATTTTCTTATTTTTATCAAATTTTAGGATATTTGATAAAGTGAGAATGTCCAAATACAAAAGTTAGTGCAAAGTTGTTATTATTGAGTAGGGTTAGAAATCAGGTTAATTACACTAATGCTCCTCAAGTTTATCATGTTTTCACAAAACATCTTCACATTTGAAACATAACACTAATATTTCCTGAAGTTTTAATTTACTTTCACATAACCCCTTTTGGGGCAAACATCACCTTAAAATATTTTCTTAAAGACCAATTTGCCCTCATTTTTAATTATTCAAAAAAAAAATAGAAATAAAAAAAATAAAAAATAAAAAACCTTTTTGAAAATCAATATAGGGTTTTAGGGCCTCCCCTCTGCATTGACCACAACATAATAGAAATGCTTAAGATGCTTCACCTCCTCCCTGGCCTTCCACACAAGAAGCTACTCCTTTGTCTCGATTTTTCAATCAATCAGCCTCTTCACAAGAAGCTACCAAATTTATTTGAAATAGATTTACTGCCACCATTTCCTCTCGATCATGTCATGTACAAATTTTCTCCACGAAACATGACACTACCAAAATGTCACATAACAATAATTCGTTTCATGTTCTAGTGTTACCTACTCAAGTGCACTACAAATGGCTCATCCAAAACAAAAAACAAAGCAAATGGCCCTCTACCACAATGGTAAAGATGAATGTTGTCTTTACACCACAATGTGGGTTCAAACATCGTCGGTTTCTAATATAATATTTAATGTAATAAATCTATCGTTTGACAAAACCTTGTAACTCACGTATTTATTTTGTAATCAAAGTCCTAAAATCAAAATTTTAATATAAAAAAGTATATGAGTATATTGGGAGAAAATAAATAAATCACCTGGATCCTATACGGCGACCAGATACTGTGATCATCAGGCATATCATCCCACATCGTCAAAAGCCTCTCCTCAGACCCATCCCCAGATGTCAGCCACTCATCAAGCGTGGTCCCCACCCGGGCCATCAAGACCCGAACCCCCGCATCATTGCACTTCACCTCCCAATTCCCGTCCGGGTTCTTGTCCACCCGACCCGTAACCTGCGGGTAGAGAGACAGGGTCTCCGAGAGCGAGACCCGGAGCGGGTCCAAGTCAATAGACCCGAACAGCTGCTCCTTGTAGTAGAAAACAACGTGGAGACTGTGCAGTCCCATTGCATGGTCCAGTGCCGTGAGCGTGTGGGCCTTCCCCGGCACTACCGGCCTGCTCGACACTACCGTCAGCTTTGAGTGCACCACCACCCTGCTCCTCCCATCAGCCGCCGGCATTTTCACAGATAGCAATATAGAGAGAAACAGAGAGGATAATAGTTTTGAACTTCCGTGGATTCTGTGGGGTTTTGTAGCAATATATACGACGTATCGAGTGCATATTTATATATGCGGTTATATCGGCCCTTTGGTTCCCTGCCTATCTTAAAAAGAGCCAACCGTCCACCAATAATGAACTCAACTAATACTTGGTTCCCTCTTAAATGTTCACCACCCACCCCCGCCACAACAATACCTCTTAAGATAGGGTACCAAGAGATGGAGAGACCTAAAGGGGTAAACGTTTTCAACTGACTAATTCATTAAGAGCGTTCGCCTTTACACTCGAGTTTTCGAGTTCAATCATCATTCCCACCGTCGTTTGTGTAAATTTAAAAGTATCTTGTGTATGTATTTTACGAGTCATTCCCACTATTTTGCTGCCTGCATTACGTCAGGTAGCTATTTTGGTTAGCTGACGTTAGTGTAGTCAAGTTGGCTAGAGCAATATGTCCTATCATTTACAAATAAATTTGAATGATCTCATTCTAAACCTAATTAAATAATACAAGCCTTAGAGCATCTCCACTGGAGCAGGCAAATGAGTAGCCAAATCCTTTTGATGAGCCGAATAAGTAAAATCAACCTCCAATGGAGTAGTCAATTGAGTAGGCAACTTTGCCCATTATTCCAAAGTAGAGAACATTGCCTACTTCTACGCATGTCGGCAAAACTGAACTCTGCTTCTTTATTCATAAGAAAATATTCCATCCGAGCGGAAGAAGACAAAAATAAAAAATAGGTCAATATCAAAGGTGAAAAAAAGCAATAAAATAAAATAAAATTTTGCCTACGTAGTCCCTATTCTATTGAAGTGAAACATTTTTTTATAAAGCAACTGAGCAGGGAACTTACAACGTTAGCCATTCTACATACACCATTAGAGATGATTTGGTAAAAACTACAACCGCACGCACGCATCAAAATGCGATTAACCAACAGCTAAAGCGTCACCAACAAAATCGTAGCTTTAAGAAACACATGGTAATGATCTATCAATTTTTTTGCACTAAAAAAATTTGGATAGAATTTCTCCAAATTTCAAGCAATTACTTTCTTGTTTCCTTTCACGATCATGATCAGTCATGGACGTAACCGTGGACCAAAACCAAAACTTAATTGCCGAGTACAACTGCTACCATGCAACCATATATTCAACATCGCATGGGCTGGATTCTCGACCAAAGAAAATGATGCAACTTTCTTTCTTTCTGGTTAAGCTATTCTTTTCAATTTCATTACTTTTGGTCCCATGTTAACGACTCCTACGGTCCAACCCCACAATCCCAAACCCTAATCTGCATATTTATTTCTTTGTTTCAAGTTTCAACGACATGAGGTGTACTAAAACAAACAATGACTAATCGTTTTTAATTTTACAGATATTTGTGGATTTAAGGAGCTGTCAATTTCCCTCATGAACTTTAATTTTAGCCAATTACCACCTGAATTTTTATAATTGGTTAATTTCCTTCATGAACTTTAAATTTAGCCGCTTATCCCCATAAACTTTTGTAATTGACAATTTTCCCCATAAACTTTAATTTTATGATTGCAAAAGAGAATTGCTATTGGCATTCCAAAAATTTTATTTTGCACTCCTCACAAGTATATTTTTTTTTCCTTCTAACTATAGAAAGTTTGGAGTGCCAATAACAATACCCTTGCAAAATTAATTTATCAAAATGTGGAAAACATATTGTTTTCTTCTTCTTCTTCTCTTCCCTTAGTTCACTAAGTACACTTTTTGTTTGAATTTTAGCATTTAGAGGGAAATTAGTCAATTATAAAGGTTCAGTGGGGTAAATGGATAAATTTAAAATTCAAATGAGAAATTGACCAATTATAAAAGATTCGGAGTGAAGAGGGAGGGTCTAATCGCTACAATTAAAATTCAGAAAAAAATTGACATCTCTTTACAACTTCAGAAAGAAAATCCGCCACTACCTCTTTATTTTATATGTTGGCAAAGATATTTTTTCAGATAACTATCCTATGGATCGGCCCAAGGTCGAACAAAGCCCATGAGTAAGGCCATGTGGACCCACTAACCGGTCAAAGGAGAGAAAGATGGAGGGTGACACGTTTCGGACATCAAATAATTTCCACCTCGATTTTTGGCTTTCGCTTTTCCATTTGCACCGATCATCACCGCCACCGTCACCGCCGCAAAAGAGAAGATGGTGGCTCGGAGCTTCCAGGTTCACCACCAGGACTCCACATTCTCCGTTGACTACGACACCGACGACGGCCTTGAAGTATCTCCATCTCTCTCTCTCTCTCTAAAACTCTCTTTCTCTCTCTAACATCCAATTCATTGCAGGTCTTCAAATTTCAACTCTTCTCCCTCACCTCCGTTCCCCCCGACGAGCAAAAGGTTCGACAGTCTCTCTGTATCTGAAAATTGTGAAATTTCGAGCTTAATTTTAGCTCAAGTTTGATTGAAATTGAATTACTTTACTTTCTGTAAAGTTAATTGGATTCGATGGAGATTCCGTTGTTTCGGACGATTCGGACCTCGTTTCGATTTGCGAGAAGCTCCGATTGGTTTCGATCAGCGAAGAACAACAACAGCAAGAAGAATCAACGGCTCAGAACGACGAATTGCTGAAATCGGACGAGGAATTGGCTAGAATGTTGCAGGTTTGTTTACAGTTCCGTTGCTTTTCAAAATTTTCTTGAAATTTTGATCAATTTTAACTCTTAATTTATTCTTGTGTTGGAAAAAAAAAAAAAAAAAAAGGCAGAGGAGGAAGCACTTTTGTTTCAGCAGTACGCTGCCCCTGAAGATGATGGCAAATTCGAGCAAAAACTGCGGCCTTATGTCAGTCAAGTTCTTATGGTAATGTTCTTTCTCATTGCTTAATGCGTTTGGTTCCCGGGAAACCGATCGAAAACAGTGGAAAATAAAGATTTGGAATTTAGAGGTTTATTTTGCTTCGGACACGAGAAAGCAATGAGCTTAGGGTGCTTAGATTTTGAATAATAGTTAACTTGTATTTTTGTACCTCTCCAATTTACGCATTGATTTAAACATACTTGCTAAATGATGTTTCCGTTGGGTTTTGGCCTGTCGTTGGTTTAGTATGAGGACCCGGTGCGCCAGGAGGCTGCTCGGAAAACAGTCCCTATAGAAGAGCTTGAGGAGAAGGCATTGGTCAGTTTGGCCAAGGTGAGAGCACTTGTCTCTTGTCTCAGAAAATATATGTTTTAAGTGCGCATTTTGTTGTTTTTTCTGTAGGACTTAACTGGTGTGTAGAAATATATCAATTTGCACTCTGCTAAGATGTTTTGGTGATAAGAAAATCTGATTAAAATGCTTTAGGAGGGGAACTTAACTCCGTCAAAAAATGAGCAAGATCATGCTTTCCTGCTGCAGCTACTTTTTTGGTTCAAACAGTCTTTCAGGTGTTCTGTTGCTTCGTTGTCTTATACTATTGAGTTGTTTCTAATAAAAGTTTATTTTGTTTCATTTTAACCAAACTTCCGTTTCACTTTCATCATTCATAGCTACAAGCTGAATATTGCATAATTGTGTTCTGTCCGGTTTATTTATTGCAGTTGGGTTAACGCACCTGCCTGTGATAGTTGTGGCAATAACACCGTAAATAGTGGCATGGCTAATGCAATTCCTTCGGAAATCCGATATGGAGCTTCTCGAGTTGAGATCTATAGGTAAGCTATAGAAATTAGAATATACTCATTTGTATCGATGCATAGTTTACATGGTAATTTTCTTTTTTTACTGTTCCACTATTATATGTCTAGCCTTTCATTGGGGTAACTCTCGGACAATACTGGTTCTGGTAAAAGATATAATTTAGTAGTCTTTCTTTTCTTTGTCTGATTTAAGATCAAAGATAGCTGAAATTGAAAAGACTTTTCCACCGTAAACTTGGATGCTTCCACTGTCACAGATGTGGAAGCATTCACATCTATATTGTTCGGTTTAAGCAATTTTTCTTTACCGATAACTTTTTGTGACTAGCGTTTTTAGGTGAGAACCTCATGACACAAAACATTGACACACTTCTATGTTCATCACAACTTTTAACCATAGACATTACTTTTTACTTATTATATTTCCCTTTTCTTGTTTCTTAGCTTCTTATATTTTTGTTGATGCATATTAAGTGAATTTTCACATACATCTCTAGATTCAAAATATTTAATTATAATGACATTTATTGTTTTTTTTTTCTTCTATCCAGATGCAATATTTGTCCTACGGTGACTCGTTTCCCACGCTACAATGATCCACTAAAGGTATTTACTATTTATGAATTTTGCCCTCGTTAAGAAGCCTTTTGGATATTTTATGTCTCCATCGATTTCTTTTTCCTGTTTTCCTCAATGCAGCTTGTGGAAACAAGAAGAGGGCGTTGTGGGGAATGGGCCAATTGCTTTACGCTTTATTGCCGAGCTTTTGGATATGAATCCCGTCTTGTTAGTCATTTTCTATCTGACTTTCTTAATATTCAAATATGGATATGCTTAAAGCAATATGAATATTTTTAATTCATCCTGTACCACATTTGGAGTTGAGCTTCAATACTGGAATCTCATTATACGTTTTCGGCTGAAAATAGATAATTAAGTAGTTTTTTTGTGTCCCTTTTTCCTTAGACTGAGGAGGCTTACTTGGACCCATACTTGCCGTTACTGGTGACAGATTTCTATTAATTATGTTTTCGTTTTCAGATCTTGGATTTCACAGATCATGTTTGGACTGAGTGCTTCTCACAATCTTTGGGAAGGTAACTTTCATTTACAAACTAGTGCTATTTATTTAACTTTGGAGATTTGGAAAGCCAATAATATATGCCTATAATCTTCTTTTGATGCCTTTGCTTTTCAGATGGGTGCATCTTGATCCTTGTGAAGCAGTGTATGATAAACCCCTGTTATATGAAAGCGGGTACTTTTCTTAATTAGTCTGTTCATTCAGTAGATGACTTATTTTACCTTGACTTATCAGCATTAGAATATAACTTCCAAGTATTTTTCGGAAGGTGGAACAAGAAATTGAATTACGTAATTGCCATCGCAAAAGATGGTGTTTGTGATGTAACCAAACGCTATACGAGGAAATGGCATGAGGTAATCACACTAAGTGGTACTGGCTTTAATTAATTTGCCTAGATTTTCATTAGGAGAACTACCATGCGAACTTTATTTTTGCCGTGATGAGGAAGATTTCTTTTTGTTTTTACAGGTTCTTTCTCGACGTAACATCATTACAGAGCCTGCATTGTCAGCTGTGCTTGCTAATATAACAAAAGATTGTCGAAAAGGGTTTACTTCTCAAGTACTTTCTGTACTTGAAGAGCGTGATGAGAAGGAAATGCAAGAACTCGAAAGAGGTTTGCATTCTACAGACAATGACTCAAGCTCATTACCTGGGAGACGAAGTGGGGACAAGGAATGGCGAAAGTCAAGATTAGAATGTGGTTCTGATGAGAGTTGCTCCTTGAGTGGTTCTTCTTGTCCAGTTCGTTCATGCTTTGACGAGCACGTGACCAAAATTCATAATGCATTTCTCCCAATTCTTTCAAAGCTTGTTGAGGAAGAATTTCCAAAATCAAGGGCCGTTGAAGTACTTGAGACTCTAAAAGGCATTCTCATGGATCTTAAGAAATCACCTTTTAAAACAAGGAGGGCCACAATCGATTCAATTTCTAATATCAACCAATCACTTGTTCATCAGTTGTTGCCCTCTTTCACTGAGTTACTTAATGCTCTTTCGATGAATGTTATGGTAGATGGTGATGGGAAAGTCGACATTTCTCTAGTTGGAAGTGCTGTTAAAACCTCTTTGGCACTACCTGTTGCATTGGATGCTTTGGACGACACAATCAATAATCTTAACAGTTGTGATAACTTTGTTGAAAAGTCTCTTTGCTTGCCTCTTCTGAAGCTAAATAGAATTCATTCTGGTTCAGTCCTTGCAAGTGGCGAAGAAATTCCTTTTGGAATTGTGAGTTTTATTGGTTTTGCAGTTCATCTTTGTACTATTTCATTCAAAATGCTTCTCCTCAATCTCCCCAATAAATTTCAGGCCACATCAGCGTTTGATGGGATACGCAAGTCTAAGTGGGAAGAACCAAATGGTGCACGAGGTAATTAAGAAAGGTTCTCTTTTGTTTATTGGTATGGCGTACTATTTAACAAGGTCACTATGTAACTTTGTCTTTATGGCTTTTAGGTTGCTGGATCATGTATAAAGTATCAGAGAACCAGATGCACGAACTTGTGGCATATGAGTTAATGTCAGCCAACGATGTACCAGAAAGGGATCCCATGGATTGGTATGATCTGTATAGTAACTTTATGAGTAACCTCATATTTTTTTGTTTCATCTGCTAGCATTTTAGTGACCAAAATGTGGCACGTAGTGTGCTTATGCATCGAGGACTTCTGCTGCTCTTCATTCAGGCATCTTCTTAACGACAATGAAAAAGTGACCTGAATGTAGAAATTGAGTTTTCCTTCCGCATGTACTTACACCGTTTAGTCCTTGTATACTTGTATTCCCGCAATCCTCTGCAACAATGATAAGCGTTTTTTAAGTTTAATTTTGCAGGGTTGTTGAAGGAAGCAATGATGAGGGATCAAGCTGGCATCTGTTGGATAAACAAACTTCTCAAGTATTTGATAGTCGTTTTCAGCGTAAAACATTTCAGATTGCTTCTCAAGGTTTCCTCGCAAATGCTTTCAGGTAATGACACACTCAATCGTATTTCAAACCTGTGTGTATTCGGGCACTTCTTTTAACTTAAAGTTGTGCACGGCAGGTTTAGATTTTTGGCCGTTAAAGACGTCCAATCAAATTCGCGGTTGCAATTAGGTAGCATTGACCTCTATTCTAGAAGCAGTTGATTCTTACAGATCAGAATCTCTCCATTTGGATACTCGATTCCAGTGCGTTGAAGAAGCTTGACGCTGCCGTTTCATTTGTTTCGGCTGCCTGTAAGTCGCTCTCCTCCCGTCCTAAGGCATAGGGGGACTGCCCATGGGATTTGGGATCTGTCCTAAAACTCCTTACCAAGATGTTTCATATTTCCATTGGGAATCTAGGAGAAACTGTTTTCAAAGGAGACTAAATATGTTGAGAATTTATGGAGGGAATTAACTTGGCTCCTCAATATACGCTATGTGACCTACTTACGGGACTTCATATTTATGATCGGAACTTTTATATGTATGATTGCAATGTTCGTATCATAAAGCATTATTTAAAGACGATATCCAAAAAATCACTAATATATGAAATCGTTTAGTTATTGAATTCTATTAAAACAAATGGAAGATTCAATAAAAGCATTAACAACCATCTATCTATTTGTTACAGTTAATTGGTTAAAGTACGATTTTTTTGAAGAAACAATATTTACATAGAGATTCAAAATATTAACGGTATCGATTATAAAGAAAGTTCTATGAATCAAACACTAAGTGAATTGAGGAAGTACTTCTCCTCAATCTTTGAGAAGCTAGGCATTGTTGTTTATCAAGGTGTTATTTGGGAAAACGGGGACAATGGTGGGAAAGTACAGACCGCAATACAATTTTTGTATGACGTCTATTGTTGTTATTGTAAACATTTGCAAACCAATGGATATGTGTAGCACATGTGATTCAACATGATAATGGGGTTTAAATATCAGCCGTTGGATGTAACTTGTGCGCAAAGGAAACAGTGAATATATTGGCCGTCTATAATTTAATCCCTAACGGACATTTTTAGGTAAGAAAATTTGCTATCACACTCGAGGTCCTGTGTTTGAATTCACATCCATATAAATTAGTTATCCTATTATACGTCAATTCAATTGTTCTTAAGGTAGATTGATTACTTAGTGAAAGACCCAAGATGCTTGCTGCATGTAATTCCAGTACGGCTAGATACTTCTTGTTTAAAGTAACATGTGGCTTTATGAATTGCCCACTTGGCATGCCATTAGGACACATTATAAGGGATTCGACGGAAAGAACAAAGTGATGGCTATCCACTAGTTGACACACTCTCTCTCTTCCTTTGTCGGTTAAGATGGTCTGAACATGTGAACCGAAAACTTACAGATAGTATGAGACTAGGGCTCAAGGCAAGAGGAGTATAGGAAGAATGAGGTAAACTGAAAAATAGACTATTAGAAAAGATATACTTCGTGGGATAAGACTTGGTTGTTGTACTTGGCATGCCATTGATTTTAACAAAAATTCGCACATGTGAAAATTGATGAGAGCAAGCGAGATGAGAGAATTCCGGTGAAAAATCCCAACAGAAAATAGATTATAATCTTAAATTTAATATGCAACATTAACCAAATAGGGTTGCTAGATGATCATTTATGAATTTAGATGATCCAATCTGTTCATTCTTGTTCTTCTACTACTTCTCTCACTTTCTTCAGTGTCCATCCTCAATTTTCTTCAAGCCCTTCATGTCTGTCGTTTCCACCCTGCATAATACGACGAATAAATCATCAGATACACTATACGTAGATACTGTTATCGAAATGGAAATTCCGTCATGCCAGATGCACAAATCAACAGATTGTCGACCGCGTGATGTGATAAAGGAATAATAGAAACTTACGTCGTTCCACAAAGAACAATCTTTTGAACTTTTGTGACTTCCAAGCCGGATTGATTGTCCTCGATAAAAACAGTCAAGCTGAAACAAATATAATACCTTTCTATTGAATCGGATCGACTAAGAGCAAATAAACTAGTATATGAACAGAAAATAGGTTTAAGTAAGATACCTGCGAACATTTTGAAACTTGACATACTTCAAAACAACTGGTTTTCCCTGTAATGTATAAAAATGACATCAAACATAAAGCAGAACTCTTCCAAATATGCGTCGCTGAATTGCCTTCACCAATCAAAAGAATCGTACAGCAGATGTTGTAGTTACAGAGTCCTTACCTTTAGATTATCAGGGGATAAATCAATGGTGTCACTTGCTGGGTAGTCATTGACATTGCTGCAATAATCAATAAGAAATGCATTTATCAGTTAAACTAAATGCATTTATCGACGATTGATGACTGTAATTGTCCCAAAATAATACCTGAATCCCATGTGCTCCTTGTTTGAAAAAAGTTTCACGGTCTTAGGACCTAAATATCATCGTAACGTTAGAACAATATCAAACATCATCTCATAAATTGTTTGAGTAGAAAAAAAATTCAGGATAAAACATATTTATGATAATTACAATTTGGTTAACTAAGAGGCCAAGTAAAGACTAAAAAGAAAAGAAAAATGAAAAAAACATAGACGAAGCAAAAATGGTATAAAAGCAAAGACGCCAGGAAAATCATCCTTCTCAGGGGAAAATTACTGTAAAATGAACTCATTTTTCCCTGTCTTGTAATATAACTTTGAACAATGCCAACATTGAGAAAACATTCATCTGTCCAATGGTTTTCCAGTAAAGAAGAAAACTTCGTGCGATAGCAATTACGATATATCCATTATCAACTTTCGTGTTCGCTCAATAAGTAGTGGCTGCTAAGGCAGATGTTTTTAAAATACAATCACCCTTTTTATGGATTACAATCACCAAATGAGAAAAAACGTGATCCTTCTGGATTTGGTTTGAGATCCGTAGCTTCTTAAATTCCCATGGTTACAAAATAATCAACAGTTTCATTGTCCTTAGTCGGCATGCCAACAACTTTGATCTGTTTGAAAACCTCTATTTGATCTAGAAACCGTAAAAGAGTGAATATGACTAGATCAAATACACAGTTCCTGTGAGCCCTAAATAGAATGTGTAGGGACGGCTTCACTGTTAGATGATTTTATAACGAAAGATAGAAGCAACTACCAAGAAAATCAAAGAAATGTACCATAGATAGTGAAAATAAATAACAACTTAAAGAACGATCGCCTATGCATTTGGATCAAAGCATATCAGTGTATTCAAGCGTAGCACTATGAATTTAGCAAGCACGGCCACATGCAGCTGAACTGTATCTATTAACAAACATAAACATTCGATGTTACCTTCGTCTTCAGGCCCTTTGACGATGACAGAGTGCAGTTTAACGACTTGAAGAAAAGGTATGTAAATCAAAAGCTGCTCATCCGCATCGCTCTCCAGATTCAAACCATCATCTTCTCTATAACCCTAATAGTTAGTCAACAAGAGCAAGTAACTTTAACTCCATTACATCCAATCCAAAACATGTTCAAGAACTGATCGAGCCTTACATCATAAAAACACAAAAATCGAAACCCCACATTACCATCATAAATCTTTCCCAGTATTTAAACAAAACCCCATCAAATTAACATCCAAGAAACAACTACTACAATAACAAAATAACTAATCTGCAAGCAAAATAAAGGGAATTTTAACGAAAAGTTCCTGATACTATTCACTTTAACGAAAAATCACATTTTTACACTTAAAAAGTCAATCCTGATACTATTCACTTTACCCTTTATTTTGTCATTATCATTAAAACTCAAAGTTTTCAAGTATTTTTCATTAGTTTTCCTTGAAATTAAAAGTTTAAAACAGTAAAAGCCCAGAAGCCGAAAGCAAAATTATAAAAATACCTGCTTGAGAGCGTTAGCAACAGAGTGAGAAGTGCTTTGGTTGAGGCATTCAACACCAGACCAATCTATGAAGTCCAATAAATCAACCTGCCACAAAAACAAAATTGAATGTCAGAAAGTCAGCAGCTTTAAACGCAGTGTCGTTCTGCAGGCCGGAATTTGAAATTCTCTGCGCCGGGAGAGGAATTGGGTGACCCAAAAACTGGGTTTTGATCTTGGGAGAAACCCAGATGCCAGATTCAAAAATTTTCCCACCAATTTCCGCGTGTTGTTTTGGTTTTAGTGACGAAAACAGAAGAGGAAAAGGGAAATCGGGAAGTGGGTCTTTGCTTACTTGGCTTTTTTGGATTGCACTGGCTGATTCCGCAGACATGGCTGACAAGATTAAGAATTTGAGTTGGATTTTGGAGGACGGAAACGAGAGAGAGGGAGTTTGGAGGACGAAAGCTATATATTGGTCTGGTTGAAGAATCCGAAGCCGAAGAGAGGAAGGAATAATGGTGGGTAGTAGCGTGGAAACGGCACCGTATAAGAGGTTACTTTTCCATTTTTCTATAAATTAAAGGGAACTTAAATGAAAATCTATTGGTACTGTTTATTTTAACGAAAAAATTACATTTTTATACTAAAAAATCAATCATGATACTATTCATTTTACCTTTTATTTTGTCCTTATCGTTAAAATTCAAAGTTTTTAAGTCATTTTCATTAGCTTTCTTTAAAATAAATTATTTAGTTATTTTTTAGTAGGTAGATTTGATCTAAATCACTTATTGGACTCGTAATTACATGTGAATTTTTTTTAATATATACGATATTTTCTACACTAAGGAGGATTGGCCTAATCCAGTATGAACCAACCGTATTAATTTTGTTTGAATTTGCAATTGTTGATACTCGAACCTAATACTTCTCACTTACAGAAGAATCTTCTCGTTTATATGTGTAGAGTAATATCACCCAATTATATTATTAAGTGGCAGGTAAATATGCCTTGCAGTGGAGAAGACACAAACGACCACACCAAACGATTGTTCAATCGTCAATATAAAATACTCTACTATATATATTTTGATCTCTTTCAACCCGCTTCTTCCAATCTCACCTTCTTAGTTTGGTGCCTATCCTACTTTCTTGCGTTTGGAGTTTGTATAAGGATGTTTGGACTAAAGAATTTCTCGAATCAGATATTTTCTTCTTTTCCAAAACGGTTTATGTTGAGATGAAACATGTTTTTAGCAATGCAAATCTTGTAGTTGACTTTGGTTTTCCCATATGCTTTTGGTAAAAAGGGTTCTATTTGATTTGTTACACAAATTTGATGTAGAATAAATAAATTTCCTTGTGACTATTTTTTCTTGATATCTAGTTGGTGAGTACAAATTGAAACTCTAATGAAAGTTTAGAGATTAATTTTTGTCAAATAATCCAAAACTAGTGAGTAGTCTGAAAAATAATCAACGAATATTAACGGTAAAAAATTGAACGAAGAAGATTGCTTAAAAATAGAACTAGGTTGAATTATCGAAGACACACTCTTAATTCTCACCAAAAACCTCTTATCTCAACCAAACTAAAATGTCACATTTTGTATAAGAAAAAATAATAAAAAAGACTTGAAAACTTTGAGTTTTAACGATAAGGGCAAAATAAAAGGTAAAGTGAATAGTACTATGTTTGACTTTTTAGTGTAAAAATATGATTTTCGTTAAAATAAACAGTATCCTCAACTTTTCGTTAAAACTCCCGTGTATCCAAAACATAAATCTTCGAAAATACGAAAAAAAACAGAGCTCACAAGAAAGCAGAGGAAACAAACAAAAAAACAGAGGAAGCAAAACCAACCTCTTATTTCCTCTCCAATTAATTCTACTTCTTCTATCTTCCTCCTCCTCCACTCTCCCCCTCTCCAATGGCTTCCTCCTCCCTATCCCTCCTCACCCCCCACAATGCCTCCACCGCCACCCACCTTATCCTGGGCACCCCTAAATCCCCTAACATGCGCTCTTCCTACCGACCCATGTCCGTCAAAGCGCGCACAGTCCCCGCGCTCACTCAAGATGACCTCAAGAAGCTCGCCGCCGACAAGGCCGTCGAGTATGTCAAATCCGGAATGGTCCTCGGCCTCGGCACCGGCTCCACCGCCGCCTTCGTGGTCTCCAAGCTCGGCGAGCTCCTCAAATCCGGCGAATTGAAGGACATTATTGGAGTCCCGACTTCCAAGCGCACGGAGGACCAAGCTCGCCAGTTGGGTATTCCCCTTTCGGTGCTCGACGATCACCCGAAGATCGATTTGGCGATCGACGGCGCCGATGAGGTCGACCCAAATCTCGATTTGGTCAAAGGGCGCGGCGGAGCTCTGCTGAGGGAGAAGATGGTGGAGGCGGCGTCGGAGAAGTTTGTGGTGGTGGCGGACGAGACGAAGCTGGTGACGGGGCTTGGCGGAAGCGGGCTGGCAATGCCGGTGGAGGTGGTGCAGTTCTGCTGGAAATACAACTTGGTGAGGCTTCAGGAGCTGTTTAAGGAAGAAGGGGTGGAGGCGAAATTGAGGGTCGACGGCGACGGGAAGCCGTATGTGACTGATAACTTCAACTACATTGTGGATTTGTACTTCCAGACTCCGATCAAAGACGGACCGGCGGCAGGGAAGGAGATTTTGAAATTCGAAGGTGTTGTGGAACATGGGTTGTTCTTGGACATGGCGACGGCGGTGATCATTGCCGGCACGGATGGAGTGGATGTGAAGACCAAGTGATTGGATTTTTGGATATTTCCGGTGGCGGTGAGTGTTGAACCTCCATTTGTACTGTGTTTTTTCATATTTTTTGGTGGGGTTTTGTATTTGCTGCTTGTTCTTCAGTATTTCACTGTGAAATTTAGTTCCTTTGGTGTAACTTTTAATTCGCGATATGGGGAATTAGTTGAAAATCCTGCATTCCATGCTCTTCTTGTTGGTTGAGCATCGATCAGTAGTATACTAACAATACTAAGGAATGATGAAAGTGTAAATTGTGAAATAATATGAAATGTTACCTTCGTGCTTCTCCGATTTTCGGTCACTAGATTCTTAGCTCACTATATCGCCTTATTGAGTTGTTGGCAGTCTTGTTTCTGGATATTTTTAGGAGAGTGAACTGACAACTGACAACTATAACCATACTTTTCCTGAGGCTTTCGAGCGTCAAGTGATTCCTGCATTTCAACTCGTCATCCAGAATAGCTAAGATTTCGATAACGTTTTCTCTTGACTTTGAACTGATATTTTTAAGTGATCACTACCTTCTGAGATTAGAAGATCAAGCTCGGTAGCTTTTGTGATCACTGTGACTTGCAAATGAACTGAGTATCGATCAGTGAACAACTTATTCTAGTTAATGGCTCTCTTGCATGCTGTATGATGCATGTGGCTGTCTCTTTGCAATGGCATGTTAAAGTTAGCAACTTTATGGAGTAAACCGCTCAACAGTGTACCGGTGTTCAATGCTTGGATTACTATGTGATATCGGTTAATCTCTTGGTTCATCAGTTTGTAAACTTCTCCATTTTATGGTGAGTAAGCTTATGTGAATAGTCCTTAATGTCTGCAAAAACGGCTGTGTTACAAATGAACCGATTCCTATTCAAGCCTAAATCATACAGAACATGTAATATGGTTTCGGTTGCAACCTGAGTAGCGTATTTATAACTTGATCATGTTTTCGGTTTGTCTTCTTTGTCTGTTGATGGCATGTGTTCTTCTAATTGTCTGGTGAGAGGAGGTTTGAATCAACGTGTTAAAGTTTTTCCGTTGTATTGGAAGTGTTCTAATGAAAATTTGATCTGCGTATGACTTAGTTGTCTTCGTTTCTTATGCTGATTGCATCAGTTCTATAAATTGTTTCACGAGGGTGGGTTTTATCGACTTGTAAAATCTTTTCTGTTGTATCGGAAGTATTTTCTGATGAGAAGTTGATTTGCTTATGACGTCGAGAAATCTATATCTACCCAGTGTATGTTAGTGTGTGTGCAGCTTAGAAAGCCATAAGATACTTGTAGAAATCTGCTCTGTCAATGATAGATGATCCGTAAGAGGTATGTACACATAAAAATCTGTATACAAGTGCAATGTATGACAGTCGTGGGGCTATGACTGCGTCGATTTATTTACACAAACTGACTTTATACAAATTGATGAACTGGTGAAACATGGAAGCGATGTTACAACAACAAAACGAACCTGAAGTTTATGAAACCAAAGGATGATCAAACGAACAAATGTAATTCACAACAAAACGAACCTGAAGTTTATGAAACCAAAGGATGATCAAACGAACAAATGTAATTCACAATCGTGTAACCGGACTTTCGATTCTACTTCCTCAGAATCATACCCACGGACACCGTCAGTATGGCCATCAACTGGAACTTTCCGGGCAAGAACGATGTGGCTGGAAATCGAGAGGAGAAGAGGAAGAAAAAAATGTCAATACTTTGTGTGGATTTTAGGCAATATTTTCACAACTATGTGATGCCTTTTTAAAGTCAATTTCGTAGAGATGTAAACTTTCGAAACCTCAAGCCCCTCGACATAGTCTTAATCCTTATTTCCAAGCAATTTAATTAGAAAACTAATCTAAAAACGACATGGTTATCGAACGAGGTTTTACTTAGTTGGCCTTTAGATTGATAGACAATCTCACCTTGACTGTTGTCATTCCCAGAGCCAGTGGGGGAATTTGAGTTTGCAACCTTAATTCCTAGACTCGCGCAGTCGGGTTGAAGCGTGCCTGAAAGATTACAAAAAAATTAAAGGAAAACTAACGAAATGTCCAAAAAAACTTTAGTTTCAATGAAAAATGACAAATAAAGATGTAGTGAATAGTACCCAGGGAAAGGTAAAAATGTGGTTTTTTGTTAAAAGTGAACAGTACCGAGAGTATTTCGTTAAAACTTCCAAAAATTAAAGCTCCCGTTACTTTCTCCAGCTTCTTGAAAGTATGTTAATTATGTTGTAAGCCAGAATTAAAACAAGTTTAGTTAGTGTTCTTACATTCATTGTAGCAGGGGAATGCTGTGACGTTGAGAAGATTAGAGGAGCCGGATTTGCATTCACAGATGGGTGCGTAATTGTACGTGCTGTTCCTTACGCAGTTACCTTCTCCGCAGTAAGACCAGTAACAAGCTGTTTAACCACCGAAAATTCGAGTTATTAGTAAAAGGAACCAAAGTGATTAACTATGTTAATTTATGGATGAGATAATTGAGCTGGTTTAGTGGTAATTACGATCAAAGGCAGATAAATTGTGAGGGACTTCTTTCTTAGGAACTGAAGGTGGAGCTGGCTGGCAGTTGTAGTCCAGCGTACCTGCGAAAACACGAAAATTAGAACCGATCCTAAGCCATGACATCTTGCAAAAAGGAATCTTGCTCCTCAAGTTTTTGTTCGAGAGGGAGAGAGTTAGAGCCTACAGTTGGGGATGACACAGGGGAGAAACTTCAGATCGTCGTCCCCATCAAACGTACGCTTCCAGTTCGCTTCGCACTCGCAGGTGAAACCTAATGGTTCGTTCATGTCGAATTTGCATGCTCCCCTTCCACACTCAACTTGTTTACATATTTCAGCTGCAACAAGAAGAACATGTGTAAGAAGAAAGAAACCAGTTGAGATAAAAGAACAATAATATGTCACTCGTAAACATCTTCTCTTTGTTTGTCGGGCCTATAGTGAGTTACAGACAGAGTTCGAAAGGATGTGTGTTCGGAGAGAAAATGAAGTGCTCACCGGCAATAGTAGGAGCTAAGTTATCCGGCCAGTCCAAGGTGAAAGCAGCCATGGGCACCGCTACCAGAAGCACATATAAAACGGCCATGGAGTTAGAGAAAGCCATTTGTATCTGGTTTTGAGAGAGAGGGAGGGAGGTATTCTGTGAAGGTTGTTTCTAATGAAGTTAAGCTCTCTCTCTTTATATATATATATATATATATATATATGAAGCCTTTAAACGAAGGGATTTTCATTTTTCTATAAAAATTGGGATTAGTTGTAGGGTCCACACGACATCGAATTTTAACGATCCGAATCGTTTATTTTTCAAGTTTCACCTCATAGATCATCCTTGCAAAATATTAGCCAAATCAGAAATATTTAAAACATTTAATTGGATTCAAAGAAATTAACGAATACTTTGTTATATAAGAAATAATGAAAATTTATTTTAATAATTAAATAATCAAATGGTTTCGGATTGAATTGAATTTTTGCAAAGATGATCTATGAATCGAGATTTACAAAATAGATGGTTCGAATCATTGAAGTTCGATGTGAAGTGGATGTGGGGCCCATTTCACATCGAATTATACAGACCCTTTTATGCAAAGGGATACCCATTTTTTTTCAAAAAATGTGGATTGAGTGTGGGGCCCACTTCACATCAAACTTAATATTTTCGATCTGACTAATATTTTGTAAAAATGATGTATGAGGTGCAACTTGAGAAGTAAACGGTTCGGATCATTAAAATTTGATATAGTGTAAACTGAATTAACATGTGATTAAGATTGAAAATTAAGAAGGTATCATAGCGGTGGAGAAACTTCTGGTGGCTGCCTAATTCTGTCCCCCGAAAGAAGGTTCCGTAATTTGAAAAAAAAAAAATGTGAAGAGGGTGGTGGTTAATTTGTTATTGTGCAACGTGTAATTGCCAATTATTCTCATTAAAATATTCTTCATAGAATCGAATTTCTTTGGGTCCACTAGGGTTTGCCAAAGTCAACATATGCTACCAGAGCAAAGAAACATTGAGGTTTTAACCTTCAAATCCTACTATTTAACAACAACAAAACAAAACCATCTAGATTTGGTAATTATGAGCCATTGATACAAGTAAACGTGCATCGGTTTTTAAAGTCAGTAAGTTTTGCCACTAAATACTACGATTTAGTGATATTTATTTTCATTCGTAAGTGAGAGATCTTATGTTAGATTTTTGCTAAAAGCAAATTTGAACTATATTATTATGGTTAACCCATTATGAGTTTAGTTCAGTGAAAGATCGTAGATACTATCGTTTGTTAAAAAAAAAATAGCTAAACTTTGATAGATGGTGGTGTTTTCTTAAAGTTGTTAAAATAAGTTTTTTAAGTCATTGACAACGTTATAAAGATTAAAGTACCTACGGTTTAGTCCAAATAAGTCAAGTTCTTTCGGTACTTGACTATACCTATAGAGATAGGAGCCCTTGGCGTTCATCGATCTCTTAATTTAAAAAACAATTTCTTTCGCGAAAATGCTAAACCAAAACTTAATGACTAAAAAGCCAAGAAGTTACAAAAAAAACGATATTGAAAAAAAATGTATCTTTTGCTAAAAGTAATATTAAGTAAAGCATTTGCAAGTTCCAACATATTGGTAGTACAATTCAACAAAAATGGATCTTCTTCAAATTCCTTTCATCAAATTCATCAAATCCACTAATCCGGCTCATTGAAATTTAATTCAATGGTTAAAGTTATTATAATTTTCAAAAGAACATCTTGTTTGTAATCGTTAGATCAAATTTCAATAGTTCGAATAAATGAATTTAGTAGACTTGATGAAAGGGATCGGAGAGTACCCCTTTCCCAAATCAACAATGTGGACAAAATTCAAAACGGGAAGTTGTAATTCTAGAAGAGTGACACGATGGGGGCAGAAGCTTTGAGCGTCCACAAAGTCAACATTTCTCCTTAATTAAGCCGTCTAATAAATTCTTAATCAAACAACGACCGCAAAAGAGGAAGCATTTTTCAAAGGATAATCAATTCATTCACCATCACACGTGGCCCACTAAAATTTTAACACCTGTCAAAATTCCTCCCAAACTTCTACTATCTTCGTAACCAAACACTATTCATCTTCCATCTTCACTACCAAACACTGTCATCTTCTCTGCCTTCTTGCCTATGCGCAGAAACTCCCCCTCCTTCCTCCCTCTTCGCCGGTGAGACCAACCATGAACCATCAATTCCTCACTTCTCTGGCGAGTCCACCCCATACCCTTCTCTTCTCAGGCGAGCCCAACCCCATCCCTTCTCTTCTTTTGTGAGACCGCCCCCAATCTCTTACTTTTCCGGCGACCCCAACTCCACCTATCTCTTCTCCGACGACCTGGACTACCCAAACCCCTCTGTTCGCCGGAGAACCCACCGCAAACCCTCTCTTCGACGGCGGCCCCTCTTCATTCCTCTTTGCCGGTCAGATTCCATTGGTTAGATATGGGTGTTACGAAGGAAGGTCAACGGCGGCGAGATATAGGGATGGGTTGGTTGGGTCGACGAGGAAGGCGTCAGATTAGAGTAGGCACTGGCATTGGGTCGGTGGGGTTGACATCGACGGATATGCCATGGCAGTTTGGAAGGGGAGGAAGAAGGATGATGTTTGGTACTAGGTTTAAGGGGAGTGGTGGATGTTTGGTTAGCAAGATAGGATGGTGTTTGGTAATATTCTCATAGTACAGGTGTTAAAATGTTAGTGGGCCATATAAGATAGTCAGTAAATGAGGTACTCTCCTGTAAGTACTCGAGTATTATCCTTTTCCAAATGTTTAAGCCAAAACAAAAAGAAGATGCCAAACACAGAGAGAATTTTTATTATTAAAGAGAATTAGTGAGTTTGAAACTATTATAATAATTTAAATAATATAAGAGTTCGAACTGGAGATGCATGAGTGAAAACTTAACATTTTATCCACTAAAATATTATACTACATTTATACTTTCCGTGGAAAAAAAAATTGGAAAAGATGACTCAAAGAAAATCATATTAATATGTTGGTTTTCTCATAATTGGAAAATTTTGCAATCACAAAAATAGAGCAGGATTATCTGAACTCGTATTCCCATCATCTTCTCTCTTCTCTTTTGCCCTCCCTGCCTCTTATACTTTATTTTTTGTCTTATTATCTTTAAAAAAATCAATATAAAATCTTGACGTGGTTTAATCGTAACCATTTAAGTAGGAAAAAACTAAAAGAAAATCATATTAATATGTTGGTTTTCTCATAATTGGAAAATTTTGCAATCACAAAAATATAGTTGGATTTTCTGCTTCCATATTCCCGTCATCTTCTCTCTCCTCCTCTGCCCTCCCCTCCTCTTATACTTTATTTTTTGTCTTATTATCTTTAAAAAAATCAATATAAAATCTTAACGTGGCTTAATCTTAACCATTTAAGTAGGAAAAAACTAAAAGAAAATCATATTAATATGATGGTTTTCTCATAATTGGAAAATTTTGCAATCACAAAAATAGAGCAAGATTATATGCCTTCATATGCCCATCATCTTCTCTCTCCTCTTTTGCTCTCCCCTCTTCTTATACTTTATTTTTTGTCTTATTATTTCTAAAAAAATCAATATCAAATCTTAACATGGCTTAATCGTAACCATTTAAGTAAGAAAAGAGAGAATAGCAGAGGAATTAAGAAGGGAGAGAACTCTTCTCCCACAAAAATAAAAGTGTGCTGCAAGTTAAAAACATGTTAGAGGATTAGGTTTCGAATGTTGTCGTCTTGACGTCTCTGTTGGATATTCTTCCTTTCTCTTTTATTCTTTATATTTTATGATTGGTTCTCTTTTTTATTTGGGGTGGTTGAATATGAAATAACTACATTAATATAATTGAGTTTATTTAAAACCATAGTCCATATATATTAAATCTTTTCGAAAAAAATAGTTCAATGATGTTTAACAATAAGAGAAATGTTAAGAACACTCTCGCGTGAGATTCTCTATGAACTTTCTGCTGCTTTATATTTTTTGCATAATATTTTATAATATTTACATGAGAATTAACGTTAAACTGTATGACACAATATTTTATAATATTTGCACGAGAATTGACATTAAACTAAGAAATGACAGAGAATCCTACTTTTAGACAACCCCTTTAGCATTTCTCTTAACAAGAATATAGAAGAAAACAATGAGAAGAAGATGAAATCGGAAGTCAAACACACCATAAATTATAAACCAAACCATATATTTAATTTTATTAGCTCATTAGTGGAGTTTAGGTTTATGATTTCAATAAGCATGAGATTATGCTAATTAATTGAACCGCATGTTCTCAACAACTAAAGAGATTCTTGTGTGGAGCTGGTGATGTATTTTTTTATATCTACGATGAGAGATGAATATACAAAACGATAGATCCAGTTATTCATAATCTCTCTCTCTCATGTACGAAAGCTATTTTGTTAGTTTATTAATATGCATTTAATTAATTTAGACCAACTTAATGCAGTTATTTCAATCATTTTAAATACACTTCCTAACTAGCCCTAACTTTCTTTCTTTAAATTCAAGAATACAAAGCTTAGTTAAGTTATACAACTAATTTGCTATACAACTAATTTAGATCAAATTAATGTAGCCCGTTTGAAAGTGTTTTAGTTCATGAGAGCTTCTGGTAGAAGTGCTTTTATCATAAAGAAAAAGTTGGAACTGTACTTGGTTTTACAAAAAAAAAAAATTTATAAGACGAATAAGAATTTTTTAAAATTTATTGTCAAATGTATTCATAAGCGTTTTAAGTTGGTAGAATCTGCTTTTAGCAATTTAATCTTTAGGAAATAAAAACTTCGTTTTTCAGTTTTGTGCTCAACCCACTTTTGGGCCCATATGTGAGGCCTACTTGGAGAAGATCATCATACCTAAGCAGGCCAAGCCCAACTTTAACCCACCCATATTCTAACCCGTAATCCAACACCCGTCTATCATTTCTCATCGTTCGCTATAAATTGTAGTAATGATTCCTTAACTTTAACTCAGTTAGAGCAATGGTCTCTCAACTAAAAAACTATTACTATTGGTCTCTCAACTCATCAAAATGTGCAGTTATAGTCTCTCAACAAAAAATTCATTACTATTAGTCCTTCAACTTTAATTCAACTAGAAAAATAATTTTTCAACTTTAACCCAAATTGAGCAATGATCCCTCAACTTTAACCCGATTGTAGTAATGGCCATTCCAACATAACTCATTTTGACAAAATTCTGACGAAGTTGACGAAAAGAACCATAGCTATACGTTTTAATGAGTTGAGGGACCCCAATTGTAGCAATGATTCTTCCAACATAACTCATTTTGACTAGTTGAGGGACTAATGGTAACAGATTTTTAGTTGATGAACCATTACTATAATTTACTCTTCGCTTAAACCTTTGAACCCTTTTCTTCCCATCTCTCTCCTCCACTCTCACTCCTCATCTGTTGCTACTCTGCTGATTTGATCAAGCTAACAGGTACGTCTCTCTCTCCTTTTCTTCCCATATTAGATAACAAAATTAATAGTAGTTTGAATGGATTAAAGATTTGGTGCTGATGGTTGAAAGTTCAATCTTTTTTATTTTTTGATTCATTTCCTGTAATTTGATTGCAGATTGTTTTATTTTTATTTCTTTTTTCAGGTTAGAGTTTTTAATTATTTCTGGAATTATTAAATGTGTAATTCTCCAAGCGTTTGACAAAGTAAGATTTGGGGTTGTTCTGCCCTTTTGAAAAATGCAGTGCTGTGATTATTAATTTTGTTTTAGAAATTAGGAGTTCAAAAGAAAGAGAAAAGTGTGAAGCTTTGGATGTTATTTAGAATTTATCCTGGTTATGGCTTTCCGTAAAACCGAGTGTGATATTGTAAGATTTATACGGCCAACCGTACTTTATACAACTAATCTTATTTAGTGGGATAAGTTGCCGTTGTTGTTGTAGGAATTTAAGCATATGGAAGTAGTTTGTCGTATCTAGATGTTCCCTTGTTCAAGTCGTGCTGAAATTCGATCCCGAATGTTTGTATTTGGCTGTTGAAGCTATACAATTAGAGCACAATGTCAAATTTTAGTTTTTAGAACCATTTCTTGGTTTTGTAAGACTAAATTGCTTTATGTATTTTCCGATAAATGCAAATTTTTGTAGGGAATTTTAACGAAACACTCTCGGTACTGTTCACTTTTAACGAAAAATCACAATTTTACCTTTTTCTGGTACTATTCATTACACATTTATTTGTCTTTTTTCATTAAAACTAAAGTTTTTTTGGACTTTTCGTTATTTTTCTTATTTTTTGTAATGTTACAGGACTTTCGCTTGAAATCTTGAATCCAAAGTATCTTTTCGTATCTTACGAGTAGGAGTATGCTCGTGTTGTATTCGAAGCTACATATTTTGAAGGATGAAGGCTTAGATTTTTTCAATGCGGGAATAGAAAACTTAGTTGAGTTGAGAAATGAGGGTACTTGTTTGTGTCTTTTTTTGGTCTGAAATGGGTGAATAATGTTCTTTTGCCCCTTGATAATTTGAAATTCTGAGTCTATATCTCGGTTTACCGTAGTGACAGACAATTTAAGTAAAGAGTTATTATACAAAATGGTCTTTGAGATTTGCATAATCAATAGAAATGGTCCCTGAGATTGTCCATCATCCATGATTTTGGTCATTCCGTTAAAAACTCTTTGGGTAATTTTCAAAACTTCATAATTCAATCGATTCTTAACCAAATGCGATCCATAATATATCAAAATGAAGATAAGAAAGTGTAGAATAAGATTATAACTATTTTGAAGCCCAATGATTGCCGGAGATGGCCGGAAAATAGCCTGAAAAGTGACTGGTCCGCGGAAAAACTAAAAAACTCGCTGGAAACTGGGTAAACTTTAAACGTTTATAACTTCTTCAATACTCAACGAAATCGAGTGATTCAAAAACAAAAATCATACTTCTCAACGAGAAGAAGAGAATGGTATCTTTCTTTACTGCTAACTCGTGGTGTTTTGGTCGGAAAACTGCTCGAAAGTGACTAACTTGAAAATGGTTAGCCACTTTCGAGCCGTTGTCTGACCAAATCAAGATGAGTTAGCCTTCGAAAAAGGTACCATTCTCTTCGTCTCGTCGAAAAATATTATTTTTGTTTTTGAATCATTCGATTTGGTTGAGTATTGAAGAAATTATGAACGTTTAAAGTTTACCCAGTTTTCGGTGAGTTTTCCAATTTTTCGCGGACTGACCTTTCAGGCTACTTTTAGGCCATCTCCGGCAATCATTGGGCTTCTGAATAGGTATAATCTTATTCTATTTCCTATATTCATTTTGATATATTATGGGTCGAATTTGGTTAAGAAACGATTGAGTTACAAAACTTTAAAAATTGCCCAAAATTGTTTTTAATGGAAGGACCAAAATTATGGATGGTAGACAATTTCAGGAACCATTTCTATTGATTTTCAATCTGGACCATTTCTATTGATGATGCAAATCTCATAAATCATTTTGTATAATAACCCCTTAACTTAATTGTGGAAGCAAGACTTCCACTGTATCCTATTGAAGAGTTTAGTGGGTTTCAGAAAATGATACGAATCTTGAATATTAGAGTAAATTGTAGCAATAGTCTTTCAATTTTAACTTAATTGAAGTAATGGTCTTTCAACTAAAAATTAATTACAATTGGTCCCTCAACTCATCAAAACGTGCAGATATAGTTCTTCAACTAAAAATTTATTACCAATGGTCCCTCAACTTTAATCAAACTGGAGAAATGGTCCATCAACTTTAATTCAATTAGAGAAATAGTCCTTCAACTTTAACCCAATTGTGGTTCTAAAAGATATTAGGCCCTGGTCGGGCGGTGGGCTGTGACCTAGCGCCCAGGCGGACTAGATGAATTTAAGTAAATCTGTTATATTTCGTGTAAATAAGAGTATGTTTATACTTAAAATATATAATTACATCATAAATTACAAAATAAAATGACATATATATTATGAAGTATTGAAATATAATGAAAGCATGGAGAACAAGCATATAATTTGTGTTCATTTTAGTTTTCAACAAGTTTCTTACCATTTATTAAAAAATAAATAATGCAAAATAATAGTTATCTATTTTTTTATCTAAGTGAGTCGCAACCTAAGTTGGTTGTCTAGGCATATATGGGCGGGTTAGGCGGGTGCCTAGACGGTCTAGGCGAACACCTCAAAAGGTTTAGGAGCCATTTCTAAATTTTCAAATGTCTAGGCATTAATTGGGATGATGACCAACCGCCTAGCGCTTAGGTGACTCTATACGGGGATTTTTAGAACAGAATTTGTAGCAATGGTCATTTCAAAATAACTCATTTTGACAAAATTCTGACAAAGTTGACGAAAATGACCATAGCTACACTTTTTGATGAGTTGAGAGACCAATGGTAATGAATTTTTAGTTGATGGATCATTGCTCAAATTTAATTAAAATTAAAAGATCATTGCTACAATTTACTCTAAAGAATAAACACGTGACGTCTTTCGTTGAGTCTTCTTCAAGTCACAACTTCCTCCAGAGATGCCCTATAAGTGGGACGGCAAAGGGTAAATCAAAGACAAAAACTGCGGGGCCACAAAAGCGGTCAAAGATAATTGTAACAAGGGGTACTGCAGCCCCTGCTGCTAAAGGTGGAGGAGGTCACATAAGTCCGGCGGAAAAGTGGTATGATTCATGCTTAAATTTCCCCACGCTTGTTAGGTGGTTACTGTAGAGAGTTGTTCCACATCGGTAAGGGAACAAGTTTGCTATATGCTTATATGGTTTTGAATTACTTTTTATATTGCCAATTGATTTTACGATGGAATCCAATTTCATCAGTTATCACCGGTACAAAGAAAACGTGAAATAATGCGAGAGAAGATGGGACTTATTAGCAAAGAGCGACAGCGTGAGATTGAGATGCTGAAGAAAGACAAGGGAAAATTGGGCATCCCAGAAAAACCAACAATTATTGGAACTCCTGGTTTGGATTTGGTATCACTAGGTTTGGTTGATGTGGAGAGGATTCCAGAATATAACCTGACTCTTGAAGACGGTCGAAAGCTTGCAAAGGAGTATAGTAGGGCATTGATGAAGCGTCACCGTGCAAGGCAGGCAGCAGAGTCCACACTGTTGCGGTTGAAGAAGGAGGCGATTGAGGCATTGCCTGGACATTTGAAAGCAGCAGCATTGGTGCCAGATCTTACTCCGTTCCCAGTAAACCGGTTCATGACAACTCTGACTTCTCCAATTGAAGGTTATATTGAGCGAGTTAAGGAAGCTGCAAGAAAGAACAGTGCGAAGGAGAAGCTCAGATAATTGAAGGTTGATCTTTTTCTTTCGGCTCCTAGCATTTTCCTTCCCTGCTAAATTCGTATTTCCACTTTGCGGATGATACTTTCTTAGGAAAACTAATGAAAAGAGCTCAAAAACTTTGAGATTTAACGATAAAGATAAAATAAAGGGTAAAGTGAATATTACATAATTGACTTTTTAATGTAAAAATGTGATTTTTCGTTATAGTAAACAGTACCATGAGTTTTTTGTTAAAGTTCTCGGAAGATTTGGTTGATAAGTTGTGAATCTAGCTTTGAAATAGTTTACCTCTCACGTGCACCAAAACAATCTGCGTTTTTTAAATAAACTTGAGACCTGGCCTCTAGAAAGAAAGGCACGCAGCATTCACTAGGTTCCATGCCTCTGCTCGCTTAGTTTTGCCGGTTCTCAATTTTTTCTTCTTGTTTGATATGATTTCGTGTTTCTTATGCAGACGGAGTTATGCTTGCGAGGTAGGAGATCTTTTGTTATCGGACCACTGTCATTTACTGAATTCAGAAGAGAGCTAATATTTGTGTTCATGAAGTCAGCGTGTTGACGACGAAGCGATGAAAATTAGATCTACTGCTTCTGTTCTGGTTATTAGCAATAACCTGTTTGAATGCTCTCGGCAATTCAATGTCGGATGAGTTTAGTATTTTGACCGAAATTGTTGAGTTTTACATAGTTGCATGGTTTCATGATCTATATAGAACGTATGAGAAACTTTCTGGGCAAGTTCCAAGTCTTTCAAGATTTGTGGAAGGTGTTATGTCAGCAATCCCTGACCCCCTAAAGAAATTCTGCATTGGCCGGTCCGGAAAGCAGTCAATGATGGCCTAATGGGGTATAAGGCTCGTTTGAGACTACTTTTGCAACACTTATATGCTCATAAGCGTTTATACACAAAGTGCTTTCATTAAAAACATGTAACTTGGAAGTCCTTGAAGAAGCGTTCGACAAGTGCTTCTTTAAAAAGTGCTTCTATAACCTTAAAATACTTCTAACTTGTTTTGTGCCTTTAGATTATCTAAAGAGTCGTGAAATAATAAAGGATCAATGAAATATTAAAGGGAAATGATTATCACGCACCTTTTTCTTCTCTTGCATACCAGCTCATATTTTTGGTAATTGGATTGAATAAAGTAGAAAACAAGAAACCAAATTATACACAAATTCGTTGGGAGAGAAAAAACCGTGTAGTTATCATTTTCTGAATTTCCAAATTTGGAAGTTTATAAAAAGGTGATTAGTTAGGTCACTCATCACTGTGACCAGTAACACGAAGAGTTATGGGCCTTGGAGGATTGATAGGGTGAACTGCTAGCTTTCGTATACGAGATATCCACCCTAGTCACTATGGACACATTTGCCCCATTGACACGTCTAAAGGAATCAACGTTGGACTTACTGGATCCCAATTCATACGAAGATTGGTTATTAGGGGTCTCTAGAAAGTCCGTTTTATGAAATTTTTAAGAGATAAAAAAGGATGCTTTATTTATCACCAAGTAAAGAGGAAATGAGGGATTAATAAGTCCATTGATGCCTTGATTTGATGCAGCTTCCTCCTAAAATTCTAAGCAGTTTCAATTTTTTTTTTTTTTTTTTTTTTCACTTTAAATACCATTTGAGGGTGACAAATGGCTTTCTCAGAGAAACCTCTGCAGGCCGAAGTGATTAAATAATCAGCACAAAGATGACCATGCCAGAAAAGCACTTTGAGAAAAAGCCATGCAGATCATATTTTATTTACGCAAGTAAGATCATCGTACATATATGTATACGTATGTGTGTGTTTAACTATGTTATATACTACTCTATATAAAGTGTAACTACGTTGTTTTCCAGTGGTGCTATAAACTTTTAGTGACAGTTGAAGATGGGAAAGGCAAGCAGATGGATCATAAATTTCTTGGTCGGAAAGCAAGAGAAAAAAATTAACGATGTTCCGAAAACTGAAGTTTCGAATGAGTTTGCGCTTACCATTTCTGCCATGGCGGAGGTGAAGCATCCGGGGACGCCGAAAGTGAAGAGAAGGTGGAGCTTTGGGAAGTTGGCAGGCAAAGAGGCATCCCACATGGTTACAAAATCTGTTGATTCAATTGACATCACTAAGTTGTCACTCAAGGCTCAGAAGAATCGTGCAGTGACACCAAGAGATGTCGAAAACGCTGCAGCTACAAGGATTCAAGCTGCCTTCCGTTCGCATTTGGTACGAATTTCCATCCAAAACATTGTGTCATGTTCACTAATCTATAACTGGTTAGTTTCAGGATCGTTCCTAACCCGATTCCAAATAGTTTAGTAAACAACTATTAATGGGAATTCCGGATTCTGACTCCTTGAGAATTTAATTCATCCTGGCCTAATTACAGATTAGTAAACATGTCATAAGATTCTGAGCTCGAAATCTATCTATTTTCGTAGTCATGTCGCTTATGTTGTTGTAGGCAAGGAAGGCTTTACATGCCTTGAAGGGTTTGGTGAAGTTGCAAGCACTGATAAGAGGTCACATTGTGAGGAAACAAACAACTGTGACGTTAATTCAGATGCAGGCGTTGATGGCTATCCAGGTTAGAGCGCGGATTAAGCGAATTCAGATGGCGGAAGAAGCACAGCTAGCTAATAAAAAGCAGTTGATCATTCAAAGAGGCCACCCTCAGGACAATGGAGTTCATAGGGCAAGTCTCCTCCAATCTGAAATGTTTCCTGTTCGTGTTATCTGTGCTAGTTTTTGCTTTGATTAATCTCAGCTTACGAAACCTGAGTGAATATTGCATCATAAACCCAATTGAGCTTGATAAATCACTTGGGTTTCGAAAGCTGAGCTCCTCAAGAAAGCATTTTCTGATCAACCGAACATGTAGTGATTAATAACACACAATCCAGCTCAGGTCCCTAAAATGTACCAAGCTTACAATGTGGTCTTGTTTATGCAGAACTCAATAGATTTGAACCCGAATGATGTTCAACGAGTTGCGAAAAGCACGAGTGGACACCTTAATCATTCACAAGGTGCAGGGAGGTTTGAACATGGCCATTCAACAATCTATTCTGATCGTCTTTCCATCTCAAACCGGCATCACTACGAGGAATTCTCTTTTGCAACAGCGAATAGTCCCTGGAATTATCCTTCTGCATCCAAACCAAAACCAACAAGACACCCCTTCACTCATCAAGACCAAGATTACACAGATGATGAGAACTCTGCATTCAAGCCAAATTACATGACCAACACGAAATCTTCGAAGGCGAAAGCTAGGTCACAGAGTGAACCAAAGCAAAGGCCTGAAGGAAGCTTGAAGAATAGAAGCAAGCAAACAGAAGTGGATGCCACACTTGTTGCCATGGACTATCAAGTGCTGAAACGTTCATCCACACAGTTTAAACCCAATGGTCAGAAGAACCAGGATCCCTGGTTTGTTAAGCTCTACAGATCAAGAAGATTGTTCGAGGACAACAAGCATGCCTCCGGTAGCCCGAGTACTGTCCATTCCTACCATCATGAATCTCTTGCTGCGTATGAGGTAAAACTTTAGCTTAACGAACTGAGTTCTGCAGGTTTTTTTTGTTGATTTCTGCATTTTTCGTATCTGTCTAATTTCTTCGACTATTTGATTTGCAGCCCCATGTGAACTTGTACTAACAGAAAGGGATGCTGAAGAGCTCTTCCAGACCTATATAGAGCTTGCAGAGTCCTACACATCAATGTATATTAAAATGCAAACGCCAAACGTTTTATGCGGCTCAAGTCCACCCGCTAAAATCTGATAGATTCTTCAACGCACATTGATGTACTCTAGAATTTTCGTAGCATGCATTTGCATTACTCAGAAAGAACTTTCCTATGAAAGATACTAATAACTAATTGTACTTGTTCATGAAGTTCAGTGCCAATTTCAAATACCATCTTTTGAAATTTTTTGAACCATTTCTTGAGCGAGAGAGAGAGAGAGAGAGAGAGAGAGAGAGAGAGAGATTCTATTAAGACATCGCAGTTATACAAACTAAGTTGAATTCATGGTGATAATCAATTCCTTTTCTGAGATCATAACCTGCAAAATTAGGATCTAACTAGGAGCCTAATTCCTCTTGAGAAGAATGAAAACCGAAAACTCGTGACTACCAAAACTAATCGAGTTGGAAATAAATATAATACATGTTGCAACCGCTCATTGTAATTGATCATCCTGGTCGACATTATTTTGCTTGATGCTTTTAGTCAACCAAATTGCAGTTTCCCTAGGAGAGACCTTCCCTGGCCCAAAAGGCTTCAGCAACACCCCAAGCTCGTCATATCGTTCGTTCTGGAGCAATCTTGCACTGAATTCGAGCAGCCCTTCTAAAGCTTCGGCCCTTTGCTGGAATGATGAGGTGTCAAAATGCTGGCGGCGCGTGTTTGATGAGGTCCGGCTTGATGCTCCAGCAGTTGCGTTTTGATCCGAACATTCATCACTTTGATTGTCTGGTGCAGCTTTGAACATGCCAGGTTCAATTCCCTTCCATGCACCTGTGAAACTAAGTTTGCGAGAGGCTCTGTCGCTTATCTGAACGGTGCATTTGTCCTTCATCGTTGAATGGTCACCAGAGTGGGGGGAACCAGACGAACCTTGCACTGAGGGCGATGAGTTTCTATGGATAGGCAGAAACTGTTCTTCGTATAATTGTTCTTCATACGAGGCTAATGGGAATTCAGCTATCCTGTCAATTCGAGGGGAATTGACAGAAACGTCGGGAGATTTAATACAGTGAAGAACACCAACATTGGGCCAGAAAGGGGACCGTTGAGTTGCAGCTCTTGTTAATGGCAATGATGCTCTGCGAGTTGTACTCACTGTCTTCTGCGGAGCGCGTGAAACAGGAAGCTGGAAAGATGAATTTTATAAACTTAAACTTATAGATTAGCAAACACTAGCCGTTTAGAAACTAAAATATTATGCAAAAGTACGGCTAGTGCTTTTATGCAGCTATAGTTTGTTTGAGATAAACTTGCACTTTTGGTTTGAGAGAGTGAGAGAGATCTTACCGATGCACAATTCTTTGGCTCCATAAATCTCTTGGGAGTGGCAGAAGCTTTTGCTGGAGTAACTCGACTGTTAATGATATTTGAAGTTTTGGAAGCAATTGGCTGCTTGCGTATGGCTGCTTTTCTATAGGCGCCAGTGCCACCAACAGAATGTCCTGCCAATTCTCGATTCAGATATTTTGGCCTGCCATGCATTTCTTGGGTAGAGCTTACAGAATCTTGCTCACCTCCAGATATACTAGGATTTAAAGTCCTATCATTGCTGAATGTATGCCGCTTGTCCTGGTAACGGCGAGTGGAGAAAGGAACTGCTTCTGGCTCTGAAAACCTTGTCTTCTTCAAGTAACCAGTATCAGGCCAGTTGACCGCTAAAGTTCCATGTCTGGGGTTATTGAGTTTGAGATGAACCTTGTGAACATGAGGCTGAAGGACTGGGTGAGCAAGCAGCTCAGCAGCCTGCCACAACAGAAAACACTTTCAAGTGAGATGAAGATTATAAGAAACCAAATTCATACCAGGCAACAATGAATTGACAATATGTATTCAACAGGTATTGGGTACAATGCATTTGAGTTCATAAGCGGAAATTACAAAATGATTGTCAATAAAATAAAACCAGACTGCACCAGCTTGCGGCACATCTCAACAAGATGCATTGGACATTGCACCGAAGAGAGATTTTACACAATGAATCCATAAGTAACTTTGTAAATCTGTCATGTTTGACTATTATCCTAGTATGTCTATCCGTAGACGCATTTACACTAGAGGAGAAGTATACGTACACTTGGCCTGAGTTCTGGGTTTTTCCGAAGCATGCTTTTAATAAGGCTTCGGCTGAAAAAAGAATTACAGAAAGTGATTAGAAACAATATTTACTATGAAAGGTAACTTAATCACATCCAACTAGAAACACAAGGTAACAGAAAATCAGGTTATTAAAGCATCTGTTTGTTTTGTTACTTGAACATCCTCACACAATTCCAAATGTCGTAGAAATTTATGATGATCATACAAAGTAAGGAAGGGCGCTAAACAAGCAATCGACGTTGAATAGCCACAAAGAATCAAACAAAATAAATAAGGACTCACAATGCACCAGTGTACTTTGTGGGAAGGGGAGCCACTATGGACCTGTTAATTTTGTTAATCAGTGCTTGTATATCCTGTTAAAGAAACAGCAAATAAATACGTAAAGAAAAAAATAACATGCGAAAGAAAAAGGAAACAATTTATAAATGCGGAGGAACATAAAACATTTTCTTAAACAAGAAGCAGATTGAGGAAACACAAACAACAGAAACAGATTATGAGTTACAAAACTTACAAACGCTTTAAATGCAGCCCTATGAGAAGTCATTTCATAGATACAGCATCCTGGACGAAATATGTTTAGTACAATACATATTGCAACTAGAAAAGAAAAATAATCAACAATGAAAAAATTCGCACACACTCGGTGCTTACCCAAAGACCAAATATCTGATTTTGAACCATAAGGTATATCAGCAAGAAGCTCAGGACACATATAGCTAGGAGTTCCGACAACCTGGGTCAGAGATAATGATTCTTACTATAGATCTTCAAGATGTTGTGAATATGAACTTCAGAAGAGAACCACAGTTTCTTACCGAAGAGGCAAGATCATCTGAAGTCAACATTTTGGCAAGTCCAAAGTCACCTGCTCCAACGTTCATCAATTGTTGTCAGAAAAATTACACTCCGCTTATGGAGAACTATAGAAGAATATAGGATCACTTACCAAGGCGTATGTCTTGATCTTTTGTCAAGAATATATTAGAACACTGAAACAATCAAGGATCACTATTAATACAAATTAGCTTCGGGGAATTTGAAAGGACATAGCAACATACATTTTCAACGTGCACAGGAGGATAAATGTCACTAACCTTGACATCGCGATGAAGAATATGATTCCTGTGCAAGTAGTCTAGCGCCATCAGAAGTTGGACAAGCCACTTACAGAGCTTCTGAAAAAGTTAATTCCCATATTAGATGATAGGAGCCGAAAAAAGCGACTCTGCAAGGAATGTCATTTAAGAAAAAAAATTCTGCAGGAGGAAACAAAGTGAAGAAGAAGAATTAAAACAAATTCAAACCTCTTCGGGGAAAAGAAGACCATTGGCCTTTTTTATAGCTTCAGCCCTGTACCGCACAGATACACAGAATGAGTGGCCTGGCCGACAATATGCAAGCCTTCAAGTCAAAGCAAAAATATCAAAGTTTCAGCACGATACAAAACTTACATGTCCCCTCCTGCGCAATAACCGATGATAATGCACACATAGCAACCCTGAAAACAAGGGGTATGAACCAAGTTTAGGCCATCGCAACTAGCTAGGCTACCATAACTCCAAAGTATCCACCCGGGAATTAATAAAATTACACTAGATACAGAGAAAAGGAAAAGTGCACCACTGAGCACAATTACACTAGATACAGTCGCGGGCAAATGTACCTTTTCCACCCAAGAATCTTTGTACTCCACAATAAATGGATTTTTGAACTTGGAAATGAGCTCCATCTACACAAACAAGGAAAGTTGTAAATCTGGAGGTATCCAATATATATAATAAAGCCTGCAGCATACTCCATCATTTCTTTTCTTTCTATGTTTTCTTTAGTAAAGTCGTGTAGAAGATGAATGAGATATATTGTATGTGGAAGATTATCAATTGAGGTCGAAAAGAAATGGAAGATTATCAGCACACTAAAACATCAAAAAAGTATACTAACCTCCTGATGTGCAGATCTCCGCGATCTATCAGTCTGGCGAGCAAGACGAATCTTTTTCAACACGTACCTTTATATATCAAAGATTCAAAGTTAAGACCGACTCTCAAAATTTGGATAACAATGTCATGAGGAATAGTTGAACAGCGCATGTTCCCATGAAAGTAACCATGGATACAGGGAAAGAAAAAGGAAAAGTAAATTCCAGTCTTACTTCTTCTTTTCATGCTTATGCCTGACAAGAAGCGCAGAACCGAAAGCCCCTTTACCGATTTGCTCAAGAACTTCATATTGCTCCATGTTGTAGACTCAAAACTTATCTTCACTGAATGAAGAACAAAATGGTTTTAATCTCATACACATTCACAATAGCTAAAACAATTCTATTCGATTCTTGGAATGTACTTTAACACGAATTCAACGTAGCAACTCAGCACCAAGGGAAAGCTACACCATATGTGTAGTAGTCACTCAAGACTTGCATCGCTCGGCAAAATCGCATTTCTTTTTTTTTTTTTTTTTTTTTTTTCTTGAGAAATAAACTAAGTAATCCAAAACAAAAACAATACTACATTTATCACTCAAGCAAATTGATAAACCCTTGAAAGAAAAATGTGACCAAACCATAGTTACCCTATTAACTACTTACAACACAAATTCAAGTCAGACAATCCCAAATTCTGTTTCTTTTTAGATGAAAGCCCGGTTCTTTATTGTAGAAAATCGAATGCGGTATAAAGCAGAAGAAATTACATAAACATTTTAGCAAATAGATGCACAAAAATTTGAACTTTGTGTCCAAATTATCAAATTAGCTCAGCCAAATGGTCAATTTTAGGCTCAAACCAGATCCCAATAGTAAGAAAAACCATGAATTGCACAATATATTTTCTCTTGCTTTCCCACGCTTTCTCAGCAATCAAACAATGTAATATACACAGTAAAAACTAAGTACAGAGAGAGAGAGAGAGAAACTGAGTCAAAAGGAATAAAAAGTAATCAAATTGCTTCTAAGAAAATGGATAATGCAACTCAAAACTAAAAACCCAAGTCAAAATTTGAACTTTAATGTCAAAGAAAAAGAAAAGTTAGAGAATTTAAGCTAGAGAGATTTGGAAGACCTCAATGTAGAGTGAGTGAGTTGGATCGAAGAGATCACAATGCAGGTGAGGGAGGAGACATTTTGGCTGGCGGCAGGGGAGAATGAGCCGAAAACGACGTCGTCACTGGACCAGTAGAGCAGGGAGCAGAAAAGCAAGAAGAAGAAGAAGAAGCTGCAGAGGAAGTTGCAGTAGTTCTTTCCCCCATTCGCCCATTTGGGTTTTTACTCTCGTCTTCCCAATAGACAAACTGTCAAGTTCTTAAGAATTAAGAGAGAGAGAGAGAGAGACTACATTGCTAAATTGCTATCTAATAAAATAATAAGCAAATTAATCAGAGTTAGAGAAACTTAGAGGGATGAAAAAAATTTCAGTGTGCCGGATCCAAAACTCAATTAATAAGTGTTATAATACATTGTTTTATTACGTTTAAAGTATTTGTGTTTCTGGTACATTAAAAATTTTATTTCAAGAGAGACAAAGAGAGATTTATGAGATTAAGTGTTAAACAAGACAATTAATATATGACTCGTTTGAATGTGCTTTTAAAATGACTGAAAGCGTTTTTAGAGAAAATGTTTTGAGGTTTCAAAAGCACTTGAAGTGTTTTCTGTAAGAAGCACCAGTTATGTGCTTTTTTCAGGAATCACTTTTTCATAATTTACTTGCATTTTTACTAAGAATTAGTTCTAAAAATATTTTTACCAAAAATACTTTCAGTCATTTTAAAAACACATTCATACGAGCTCATAATTAAATTAATATAATTTTAAAGTGTGATTTGTTTAGTATTGTGAAAAGGAGAGAACTGAAGTAAACCCTGCAGGCTGCACTCTACATGGCACGAGGAGGAGGAGACACTGACAAACAAAAGAGGACCGGGTGTGGGTCCGAGGGGAGGCTGGGAAGCTGGGAGGATGAACATGGCCCCCACCCATTTTGTCACGGCTTTATTGAATCTTTTCGGACTTTGGAGACTTTTCTTTACTTTTTTTTAATTTTTATTATTAAGAAACTATGAATAAACTTTCTATATGTGAGTTGAGTCAATTAATCGAGACATTATTATCTGTTTTTCCGAGATGTGAGTTGGGACACTCTTTCTTATAGGTTTTGTAAATATGAGTTGAGTCAATTAGTCAAAGAAATTGTTATTTGTTTGTTTGAGATGTGAGTTGGGGCATTCTGTGTTATAGGTTTTGTAAATGTGAGTGAGTCAATTAGTTGAGAGATTGTTATATGTTATTTTGAGATGTGAGTTAGGACACTCTTTCTCATAGGTCGGAGTAGTGTACAATATTGTTTTGTCAAAAATAAATTTAACTAATATTCAAAGAATAATGTTCAACTCCTTATCTTGAATAAGATATGTTTTATCACTCGCATATGTATGTATTACAAGTAACGGTTACAAGAATGGCGGGAAATGAGGATACATTAACTTTTCTGAGGGACGTGAGGATACAAAATAAATTTAACTGATATTCAAAGAATAATGTTCAACTCCTTATCTTGAATAAGACGTGTTTTGCTACTTCATAGTTTAATGTTAATTTCAACAATTTTATAAAATATTGCGCAAAAAAATTAAGTGACAGAAAATTTATAAAGAGTCGCACTTAATTCTTCAATTTTTGATAAAACTATCACTTAGCAAATAAACTTATCCATAATCATTACCAATTATCCATACTCATAAATCAACATCAACTTATTTCTAGGCGTTGTTAACGCAATCACGAGCAAACTTTCATGTGAACCACTCATTGCAGGTTTCTTTCTGTTGGAAATTTTGCAAATTGGATAGCATTCGGACTTTACAAAAACCATCTTATCAAACATCATACCATAACATAATTAGACGACATTTTTGAAGAATAACTTATATGAAACAAGTACATCATTACACGATGTAATGATTCATAATATAATGTTATGCGTAATATTAGATTATTAAACCAAAATATAACGACGACTGTAAACTCGTTTTATATATATCTTTTTTTTTTTAATTGAAAAAAAATTATTAAGAGGAAAAATTATGCAAAAAGAAGTGAAAATAATCATTTTAGGGTTTTTAAGAGGTAATTGGAGCATTGGTTGCTCAACTTTAGCTCAATTGGAGTTTTAATCATGAATTAAAAATTCGTGAGTATTAATCCCTCAACTTATTATAATGCGGAATAAGGATCTTTTGACTAGCTATGTTATAACTTTCATTCAAAATAAAGGGTTTATAGGGATAAAAATGGATAGAAATTCTAACATAATTAACCAAAATGATCATTGATGTACATTATAACAAGTTCAGGAATCAATATTCATGAATTTTTAGTTTATGAACGGTTCATGATGAACCAAGGCTACAATTAGAATTCAGAGACTGTTACTCCAATTTTCTCTTTTTTTAATATTTATTATATGTTTTGTGGGGGATGAAAGAATCAGCAAGATTGTTTTCGGATTCTTTTGGTGAGAATTCTGAAGATCCGTAAATCGTGTTTGTTCATCGTACATGTTGCGTTTAGTTTTTGTCAGATATTTTTTGTATTTAATTTTAAATAAAAATATTTAAAATAATTTATAGTCGTACGATATACGATGAACATATATAATTCATAAATCTTCATAATCCTCACAAAGAGATCTAGCGAGGGTCCGGATTCATGCAAGAAGACCGACCAAGGGAAGGAGCGTGGGGGCCCCGCACCATCTCTCGTCGCCCAATCGATCCGCACCAATCACGAAGCTTACCATTCGGGCGCTGGTATTCCCCAAATGACCAAACTACCCCTCAAAAATTTCAACCTCCGGTTGACGTGCTGCGAGCACGTTCATGAATTGACTTGTATAATAAATAATTCCGGTAACTTTGGGATCCAACGTCGTCGTTAGGTTTGATTGATCTTGAGTTCTTTGACTCATGTTCATCCACGCACCAACATTTTATTTATTTATTTCTTATTTTTTAGCTGGTTTTGACATATATGACGACACGTCAATATATGATTAGATGTAAATTTATTGAATTAAGATATCATCACGATTATTTGTGCAACTTTGTTTAGAGTGGATTTCACCTCAAAGAAATGAGAGATCTTGTATGTGTTTGCCAATTAATTTTATGATGGAATCCTAATTTTATTCATAAATATCATAGTATGTTGTCTCATATGTGAAGCTCAATGGTCACACGTGCTCTACGTCACTAGATTTGTGTTGTCTACATGCTTGAAAATTTGCCAAACATGAGTGGACATGTTGAGAGTGAATCTCACATATCTATTGTTACAATCCTCATCATGCTAAGCCCTCTTTCTTCATGTCAATCGATTTGTGTTGTCCACATGCTAAGCTTAAAAATTCGTCAAATGTGAGAGGACAGTGAATCCCACACATCTCATGTCATCCTGCTAACCCACCCCCCCCCCCCTTTTTCTCTCACTGTACATAGACAAAATGTAAGACCAGTGTCAACAGTTCATCACATAAGAAAGGACTCGTTGAGCCAAGATCACTAACCAATACTAATCTAATACTAATTGTACAGCTTAAGCATCGGATTTTCTTTGAAATTTATGTATTTGTTTTAAAAAGAAATTGACGAGGTGATATTTTGAGATCACTAACTAATACTAATCTAATACTAATAGTACAATTTAAATAATAGTTAATCCAACATTTGTTATCTGCCTGCCTTCTTTCGATCTGCAATTCTGCATTCAAGGATTTTAATAAACCAGACGCGTTAGCTAGGGTTGTTCCGTTCACGCATGACTATTTCTCTTATACCAAAAACCTACAAAAATATACAAAAAATAGGTGTAATTCTTGTTATTACAAATTGATTTTTTGGTTTGTCACAGTTTTTCAAGTACATAGTATGCATGCATGTTGTCCAATCTCTTAGTCGATGAGTGTTAGGTTTTCATCCATATGTCCTGAGTTCGAAACTCCACACTCTCTTAAATTATTGTAATAGTTATACGCTTCTATCCCTCATCTTAATAATAACATTTGAAAGAAAAAGGAAGCAATGCTTTTTCTCATGTAACCTCTATTATATATCGTGCAAATTAAAGCAGTGGTATAGCTCGTGAAGGAAGCAATGCCTTTTCTCGTGAAAACACGTACGCACATGAACCCCTCTAACTTTATTTCCGACTCGTGAGGTGCAACAGGCACCGTTTTTACTGCAAAAAAACCTCCAGATTTTCAGGCCTTCCGTGTACACGGCGACGAGGGGTTTGTTGTTAAGTTGGAAGCTGCCCTATATGCGGAGGAAAACTTGTGCCACGTCATCTATAAAGCAATCTTCACGAAAGCATGAGATTCTTTCTATTTTAGTCTCGCTCAACCTCATGTTGGTAGCATTCGATGTAAGAGTTGCTCCAACAGGCAGCCGTTCCAAAGTTTTTTCTCCATCAACTGACCTTTGTTGGGGAGAGAGAGAGAGAGAGAGTACTGTTTGTGTGTTGAATTTTAGATTGACATATGTTGGGTGGACATGAGGAGGACTTGTGAATGCCCTATGATGTTGAAAACGAGCGACCATAGTTGACATTTGTTACTTGCATGCATGTTGTGTAGCAGTAGAACTGGAGAAAATGAATTTACAAACTACTGTATCAGAACTCTAACCACATGGAGTCCCAATGTAAAAGATTCAAACGCGCCCATCGCCCAAAACTTTTAGTTTTTTCATCGAGAAATTTAGTTGAGTAATTGGTAGGGATTTTGTTATTTTTCTAGTTCTGTCGACAGCTTCCAATGCATGATGTCAAGTTTAGCTACCAAGGTGTGCTGGCAAGGCTTGTCCCAATATGTCTGTTGAGCATCACTTGCCAAAGCATGTCGAATTCGTCGAATTCTTCTGCCTCCCATACCAGATGGTCACAGGGCCTCAGGTGACCTTCTCTCTATGTTTTCCAATTTTCACAGGGTCTCGGGACCTGTAGGACCCCCTGGATCCGCCCTTGCATAATGCTTTCGTGTATTGTTTTGGTAGAGACTAGGGCAGTGTGAGGATGCAAAGAAGTGTCCCACGTCAAAAAGTTGTTAAGAAAAAATGGCTTATAAGGAGTTCGATCACAAGTCCCTCTCCCCTCCAAATAGTTTTGAAAGAGTTCTCGAGTTCGAATTCCCTATAACTGAAACAAAAGAACAAAACATTTCTGTGCATGCTTGTATCATGCAACGTGGGTGCAATGATCTTTGAGGCCCATTCCCATGCATAAGGCCGATATACCTTTAACAAGATAATTTTGGACCTCAATTTTGGACTGATCACATGTTGGCATAAGGCTTAGCGATCGATCCAAATTCCATCGATTTGAATTGTTGTAACAAAGCTCAACCCCACAAAGACTCACCATTTTTCCTTTTTCTTTTTTTTTTTCTAAAGAAAAATGATTTATGCAAATTCTTATTCTTCTTGCGAAATATTCTTGTTATTTTTCTCATTCACTCTCTTCTGCATTATTTGAAATGAAAGTACAAAAACAGAGATGTGTACAAAAAATAAATATGTGCCGAATTCATTTTCTTTTTTTCTGAATCCTCACATTTACAATTAGCATGAAATCAAAACCAGTCATGCATAACGCGTAGTAACATAATGTAAGAGTTTTTTTTCCAAGACAAACATTATATAAGAATTAACATAACCCAACCCGCTTGTTCAAAGAAAGCAAACTTTTATGAAACACATACGTTGTTGTCGTGCTATGAAAATCCTTCTGCGATGAAAGGCAAACAATTTTGGTTTGGGTCAATCTCTTTCAACATGTTTGTAGTTACCCGTACGTAAAAAAGTAAAAGTCAAACACGGTGGAGGAGTGGGAGTCCGACAAAGTTATACCTAAGTTGATTGTGTTGACTTTTGGCTTTAATTCTTTAAAGAACTGCATCTTGAAGGCTTCACTTTTGACAAAAAAAAAAAATTTCTGAACGCGTTACTGGCATCTGAGATTCTCAGCCGTTGGATGATGTGGCCCTCTGAGGCTCTGACCATGTCAGCAGGTTACTGGTGAGGCTGGGATAGGGTGCGGACAAACCCATCAGTTGATGTTGACGCGTGGCAGGGATCATTTGTCTGCCAATGCTGTCCAAGGTGCGGTGGAACCCCCCTCCGACTCTGAGAAAGACTTGTTATCGATAACATGACACAAAACGACAACGTCTTCCACCCTCTCCAAGGCTTTTGCTTACTGACCGGTGACCACTGGCAGTACTGGCCTCAATCTCTGTGGAGCATTCCGATAGATCCCATTCCCAATCAGAAAACATTATGTCATGCAGACTTGCAGTTGTACTGTCAATTGAATACATTTGTAGTTCTAAACCAAAACCCCAAATGAAAGATGATAATTAATGTAATCTGTCATTTGCTAATTTACATATTATGGCAGGCACTTGCGTAATTGAATCTAGTATGTTCCGGTGTATTGTATATCGGAGAAAAGATCGCTAAACATTCTTATCTCATTCCATTTCAATGGCTCGACCAATAACTAATGGCGGAAACTAGAAAAACTATGATTTCCCGCTGTGAGAGTTCAGGTGCGGCAAGTAGCAAGAAGCAGGAAACCTAGGAAGCATCAGTTCTTTAGAAAATGGTCTCTAATTGGGAGCATTCTTTCTTTTGGTGTGAGCGAACTACCTCCCGTATCAGTTGCTACATCTATTGCTGTTGGTATTGATATAACGTCTTTGCATCCCAAGTCCCAACACTTCACTGTGGCTCTGATGGGATCCCAGTGTTGGTTCACTTTTTATCCTTAAAGCAAAGCTGATTTTCCTTTCGGCGTAAAGCGGCGCATAAAAGAGATTGAATAAAATTAAGACCATTTAAATTGAAAGCCATAGTGATGATACCTAAAGTGGTGAACTAGATACCTACTAGAGGCCAAGCAACTAGGAAGCTCGCCTTCTTGTTATCCAAAAGTCGGTCAAATCGGGCACGCCCCTTGCAAGTCCACTAGTAGGTGGAGTATTCTATAATTCTTCCGTCTATTAAGACTTTACTCGTATAATTAAATTACTTAGGACCCGTGGAAAGAGCTGAGGTAGCCCAAGAATAAAAACGTCGGCCAAGCATTCCTTGTTGCTCTAATCTCCCCTACTTCTATACTTGTAAATCTTTGTGTGCTCTTTTCCCTTCTCTCTTCTTGTTCTCTGTCCCCATCCGCCCCACCTATCGGCCTGGTCTAAAGAATTCATGGAAATTGTTTGATCTAAAAGGGATCTTCTATAATTTCGCACGTTACGTTTAGTTCCTGTTAGGAAGACAGTGGAGTTTTCTTTGTTTAGGGCTCTACATAAGCTAATAATGAATGACGAGATCTAGATTACATCATGGATCATTACATGAATTCGAAAATAAAGAGAGAAACAAAGAATATCACTACCGTGTAAACATATAAAATTTTTGTGAATTGTAAACAGTGTTCCATAATTAATTGTAAATTAAAGTTGTAAGTAAAAACATATCTCATTAAAAGAAAACTTTATGCAAATGGAAAATTTTAATTTGTTTTGCAAAAAAAAAAATATAAGTTACAAACTAATTAAGAAAACCCAGCCAGCTTATAAGGGAGAAAATTTTATGAGGATCGAGAACATAATAAGTCATTGCTAAGCTCCTTGTAAACCCTTGGCCAAAAGTTCAAAACATACCTAGCACACTTAAATAACTATTGTATGATTGTACATTTGTATGTATTGTTAACCTTGGCCAAAACAAAACCTTAATTAGCTTATATGAACTAATCGTATATTGATTTATGTTTTTTTCCCGTTGCTAGATGTAACAACTGGAATGCTCTTTTAGGGATTATAAACACATGATTATCCTTATTATCTCACATGCATGCTCTTCATCATTTTGGTGAAATTATAATTAATTTTTTTAATTCTTTAAACTTTAATTAAGTTGTCATATAGTATTACGGTCTAGTGATATTCATTTTTACTCGTAAGTGAGAGTCTTAGGTTTAATTCTTACCAAAGGCGAACTGAACTACATTAGTGCTAGCCCATTGTGAGGCTTAACTTACTTTCTCACCTCTTAATGTGGATAATATCGTTTGTAAAAATTAAAAAAAAAAAAAAGAAAAGTATATTTAAGTAACAGCTAGCAACAAAGATACTTCTGCTGCTGCGCGTAGCAAATTGAGAGTAAATATGGCAAATACAAAATGACAGCAGACCTCATTTAAAATCTGGTTCCTGATTTGAATCTATCTGTCGGTGCTCACTACAAAACAAGTTTAAAACATACATATATCCGCCATAAATCAAATATATAATAAATATTGGAAATTAATTAATAAAATTCATGTCGACTGCCGAGAGTACTAGCTAGCCAGCTAGCTACCACATGTTTTACCAAGATCGACAAGAAAAAAAAGGTATCATATATTATTATCATTGAAAATGCACACACAAATATGCAAATTAAAATTAATTAGAATTCAAAATCAAAAGCTGGTGGCGGTGCTTGCTGCACCGTATTGTTGTTTTTCTCACCTTAATCATGCTTAGTTGAATCATCATCACCTAGAGAATGGTTTTCCGGCGAAGTGGGACGGTCTTCCGGTGCATGATCAGAAGGCGGTACGAGTATCCCTTGATTGTACAAAGAACTTAGTTGATGAAAATAAGGACAAGTCCTAGAGTCAAGTGACCTCTTCTTGTTAACATCTTTTGTTTTTCTAAAGTACTTGTTAATGTTCTCCCATTTCTCTTTGCACCTCTTGGCACTCCTCGTGTAACCCATCTCCAACATCCCTTGTGAGATTCTCTCCCAAAGAGGAGCTTTCATCACGACCCCTCCGTCCTTGTCCTGATCGCCGCCGCCCCCATTGTTGAAGAGGCTGCACCTTAAGTTTATCAGAGCCAGCACTTCATCTCTCGGCCATCTCTTTCCGAGGTCTTGTTTGTCATGACTAATGGAACTAGGGTTTTGAGTGTTGATGATGACATCATCAGAACTAGGGTTTTCAGGAGGTGCAACGACAACAGCAGCAGCAGCAGTAGCTCTAGATAAAATGGTCATGGTTGGAACGGCAATCGGAGTCGGAGCAAGAGTACTTGAGCTAGGGCTTTGCGGTGCAAGAGTACTTTCAGTTAATGAACTAGGCGTTGTTGGGTTATTTTCTTTTTCTTGATGATGATCAAGTTCTTTTCGGCCACTAACATCGTGACACGTTGGACGATTAGGGTTTTGTGCTTGAATCGGAAAAGACGAAGTGGAAGTACTAGAATTGCTGGACGACGATGTGAACTTCTTCAAGAACTTAATGACTGTAGCTTGTCGATCACCAGCAACCGCTTGTTCTTTCGCCATAATCTCGAGCTCCTTGTTCATCCTATCCGTCTCTTGCTTCTTCCATGCTTCTTCCCTCGCAAGCTTCTCCTCGTTTCTCTTCACCATTTCTTCAAGAAGCTTGTTGTGCATCGCTTCCTGCCGAGCCATCATCCTGTTCACAATGTCCTCACAGAAACCCTTGAGCATTTCAAATTTCCTTTGCCTTTTCCTCTTCTTAGTATTGTTCTTTGGTCTAGTTTCCACTACTACCTCTTTCTCATTGTGCTCCTCAGGGTTCAGCGGCTCGGTGCTAATCACACCGATACTGTCCCCAACAATTGTTTCGTTTCTCGTTGAGTCTTGATGATCTCCCTCATCACTCGGCTTTTCAACCTTTTCTTTCTCATTATTTTTATCCTCGGGAGCTTCCTGATGATCAGCAGGGTTTCGGTGATGATCATCAGCGTTTTGTTGATGAGCATCACCACCACCTTGACAGAGTTGTTCGAGGTCACTGAGAAAACTGTAGTTTTTGGTGAAGTTAATGTTGTTGAAGTATCTGCTTTCTTCTTCAAACTTCTCTTTGCATTTCTCTGCACTCCTTTTGAAACCAAGCTCTGCTAGATTCCTGCTTCCCCCCATAAATATATACCAAACCAGCAGTATCAATAAGCAAGAGCATTTATTCACTCTATTATTCAGTCCTAGCTAGCTAGTATCCAACTTAATTACACACACACACACACACACACACACACACACATATTGTGTACGAGGGGATCTTTGTGTTTAGTGAATATATATGACTCTCTCTCTCTCACATACACGAGTAAACAGTGACTTAAATTCCATTACTATTGATGAAGCATCAATCGTCACTTAATTATAATAAAATGTCATCGGTATAACCGTTCAAATATACAGAACTCAAGTTCGAATCCCCATCTCAGTTGTCTAAATGAATTTAAAATAACCCTAGCTAGCTAGTTCATCGATAAACTAATTAATTAAGATAATCATACGAATATAGGAGATAAGTATATGAACGAATTGTAAATAAGCTTACCTTGAGACATGTTCCCAAGCAAACTCAGGGAACCAATTCTCCATGGTAGATCTGATCCTGAGAAGTGCAAGCAATTCATCATTACTCCAAGAATCACTAATGATTGATGCATCTGATGATGCCGGTATCAATGAAGATCTCTCTCCTTCGGTCTCCAAATTATTGTTTATGGAGTTTGAAACAGTACTAGAGAGTTCCTCTTTCTCCTCGAGATTTTTGGGGGTGGCGGCGGATTGGCAGTGCAGTTGCAGAAGCTGATTATTCTGATGAAGCTGATGGGGTTGAATTTGCAGGAGTTGATGATGATGAAGATGAAAAGGGTTGTTATTGTTGTAGGGGTCAAAGGGAGTAGCAGCAGGGACAGTGAAGGTATTAATATTATTGTTTGATGGTGGAGGAGGGAATGACGAGAGAGGGAGAGGGAGAGGGAGAGGAAGAGGGAGGGAAGTTCTTGAGGATGCTATGAATTGGTGCAACTGCTCAGCTGGGACTCCATTAAACATGTTTGTCTGTGATTTTTGTGAGAGCGTGTTTCTCTTCTTTACCTCTCCTTTTGTTTGCTCACTGTAAAATAGCAAAATGTTAGAAACAAAGACTACAAAAACACCAAACTTCTCTCTCTCTCTCTCTCTCTCTCTCTCTCTCTCTCTTATCAAGGACTTATGTTGTCCTATGCATCCTATCATGGAAGAGAAAAGATAGCCCACCACACAATTTTAGAAGAAGGTGAAGTCACCCTCAAACCGGGAGAAAATTATTGAGTACAGGAAAATATGACTTGTTATATTTACACATTGACTCAATTATTACACTTATTTTTGTGAGAGTGATCCACATCAATTATATGCTTGATTATGTGACTGTTTATTGTGATTTCATATTTGGTTTTATCTATTTAACCATATCATTGTGTTTATCGTGAATGTCTATCATAATCTACCTAGTGTCTTACACGAGAGATTGAGACGACTTGAATCATGGTAATAGTTCGAGCTCCAAGGTGATTAACCACCGTGTTTATGATGAATAATGTAAGTTGTTAAGTGACTGTTAAGTCTGTTAAGAAAATTGTTAGTAGTTGTTATTGTTGAGAGTAGTCCCACATTGGTGAGGGACAAGGTTTGCTATGTGCTTATATGGTCTTGAGCCACTCCCCGTATTACCAATTGGTTTTATGGGGGAACCCCAATTTCATCTTGGTATGAAAATCCGTCACACGTGCGGGGGTGTGTTGAGAGTTGTCTTACATTGGTGAGGGACAAGGTTTGCTATGTGCTTATATGATCTTGGGCAACTTCCCATATTGCTATGTGCTTATATGATCTTGGGCAACTTCCCATATTGCCAATTGGTTTTACGGTGGAACCTCAATTTCATCAGTTATTACATTTATTTTGTAACCATTTGTTTCAATATTTGGTGCTAAGCATGCGAGAGATTGAGACGACTTGAATCGTGGTATTAGTTCGAGTTCCAAGGTGATTAAACCGTGTTTAGAGTTGTATCACCTAGAGGACACGAAGAGGAAGAGCGGGAATTAAGTCTTATATAGTACCCAAGTAGCAAAGGCGCAAGGATGAACTAGTGTGGGGGTCTAATAATTTGGGTTTGAGTTAAGTCCCTTTTAAATTAGTGTGACTAATTGTGGATTATTTTCAGATTGGCTGTCTAAGGATCCTAAGTGGTGGGTTTAACCTCATTGAATCGTTATGCACTATATGTTTAACATATGCGTAATATGATTGATATCTACTTTTAGTCCTACTATTTGAATTGGTGTTAACAAAACTTAAAATTCGTTAGGAACTAGCTAGCATGTAACCTATTCACTCCTCCTTCTATATGTTAACCTTACCACTGCATTTTTCGTATCTTGCCTTGTCACCATTAAGGTATCCCTCACGTTAGTTCTCGCTCCACTTCATATCTCTCTACTTTAATAACACAAAAATAAAGTTTCAAAGTTAAAAGTAATGGAATAAGCACACTGTCTTAATCAGTTAACGCGAATCACAAACTCTTTCCAATTACATGACCTAATCTACCCTTAGTAACCCAAAAGAGTCAAAACCATGTAAGTAGTGATAGGATTGGGCCACGAGGGGTGAGTTGAGAACGGTGTTAGCAGGATTTATATTTGAGGAAAATAATACTTAATCTTTACAAGATTTAATTTGTGTTTTGGTAGTATTTGGGGCGGCTACTGGCCTTTAGAATCCTATGCAGTTGCCGATGCTGATGATGGTGTAATTAACGGCAAGGAGATGGCAGGACACGTGAAAACATGCAGACACTGGGACCAATTTATTTAAGGTGGGACTCTTTCGAAGGGTACAAGGGATCACAATAACTACTCTACACCTCATCAGTCAGAAATCGTTGTCATTCTAAACCGTCTAATTTTTAGATATTTTTTAATTTCAGTCTAAGCCGTCTAATTTTAAATCTTTTTTAATTTTCATCAGTCGAAATCGACTAGCGTTTAGGTATTTTTATAAAGACTGTTCTTGTAAAAAATCATTTGAATATGAAACCATATGGATTTATTAGTAGAACTTCAGAGAGAATAATAATATCGTAATTTTCTACTGTTCTTCGCAATGTTTTATACTTCAGAGCATCATAGAATTTTTGGTAATATATAATTTCAAAGAAGAAATATTTGTGGGTCTTTTAGGGTTGGTAACTTAAACAAAGAGAATAATACTTTACATGGGGATCCATTCAATATTTTTTTGGGGGTCATCTTCCCATTCAAAAAGGAGAAAATATAAATTTGAAAATGCCCTTTTGAGTAGTTGGAACAGTAGTGTGAAATTTGGTATGACCCATTTAATTAGTTCGTTCTTGCAGAAAGCAAATATTGGGAATTCATTGAGCTTTTGAAACAGTTTGAGTGTTAGATAAAGTAATAAAAGTTGGAATATTTTTAAAAAGGACGCATGAATTTTTTTTTTTTTTTTCTACTAATCAAGTCGAATTGGTGTAAAATCGAACATAGTGACATTGTAGGATTTATACAGCCAATCACACTTAGTGAAATGATGCTTGGTTGTTGTTGTTGTTGTTGTTGCTATACTAGTTAAGTCACTCGAGGCAAAAAATAATTGAGATTCTTGTTTTCTTGTGTGTGTTTGGTCCTTATTATCACAGCTTTTTAATTTTAGTGAATTAATATTCCCTTGTGGGGCAAATGGGGTCTTTATGGTTGAGCACATTATTTCACCAACTTGTTATGAGTTTTATGGAAAGAGATGTATCATAACATCTAGTTGTTCCAAGGGTGCAATACATAAAGTGTCCTCCTCCATTGCAATATTTATTCAACATGAACGACTAAACATGCATGACTAGTCAATGTAGCACGGTCGAGCTTTTGTGCATGCTTGTAACTGGGCGGTGCATGAAAGCGATGAGTGATGATAAAACTTAAATGACGTGAGTAAATGTGTTGTAATTTGTTTCACCTCCATAGTTGGTATGTGAAATGATATTAAGTATGTCTATTCTTGTGGGGTTAATATAGCCTTTCGCTCACTAAGAATGGTAGCAATCATATATAAAGAAATAGACTAGTTAGGTAGTACTATTGCTTGATGATCTAACGCTCGTTAGGCTTTGATTGCATTGCATAAAATCTATTCCTCTTTCCAAAAGAGAAGGGTAAAATGCGATTGCTTATGGCCGGAAATTTTGAGTTTGATTCATAGCTTCAACTAACACATTCTGATCCGGAATGTCCACTTGGACACCCGAATCGCGATGTGCTGACCGATACCTAAAATGTGACGAAGCCATAAAGTATAGTGATGTGGAAAATGTGAATAAATTAAAACCTAAAAGTGACTAATTTAGAGCGCACATGTGAGCGGGATTGAACCCATATCACCCAAGTGATGTCAGAGCATAGATAAATTGCAGTAAAAGAAGAGTAAGGACATTTATACTGAAAGGAGAAGTCTCATACGTAACAGCTTTTACAAGTAATCCTCATCATCACAAAATTTCTGCTACTAAAATCCTGGAGGGGCAAAAAATAAGGGTGAGTGGGCCCAAAACCCAAAAACCGGCCCAAGCTTATGACCCGTTAACCCTAACCCGTATTCGACCTGGATCCACGAAACCGATCCAATAAAAAAAAAGGGCCTAAATCCAAACCTTTGGGCCGGTACCCGACCCAGCTCAATTCCAAAATGGATCCTGACATATTCTATGACGTATTCTTGGAATATTCCTTGGAATATTCTTTGGGTAAACTTTATGAAATTTTCTTGGAAACCCTCATAGGCTAATTTCGATGTCCTGAGTTCGTTTTTGACATCCATTTAGTGAAATTCCAAAGTTTTAACATAGTTGACCGCTGGGGCATCTCAATTGACTTTTTAGGGTTGATCGTTGACTTTTCGTTGACTTTTTACAAAATTTTCCCGAGAACCTTTTTAGCGTATTTCGACGCACTGATTCCAAATTCACTGCTTGTTTTTCCAAATTAAATCGTTTTAGTTGAATTTTACAGACAGGACCTAATATTATGCTTAGGTGCAATTACTATCTAAGACTTAGGCTTTCCTAGCTCGAACGGTTACGACATGCATGTACCTGTGAGTGAGTCTTTTTATTTTTACGTATATATATATGTATATGTATATGTGATTTTTCCCAACAACTGCTTTTATTATGATGCGATATGCCATGTTTAGCTTTACAAATAGACTTTTCGTACACTTCATGTTTTTAATATTATTTGAGAGCATAAACTTGTGGCATGACATCCTTTCGTTTTACCTTCTCATTATTACATGTTTGCACGGTGTCTCTTAGTTATTTGTATTGTCCTGAGCCAAGGACTAGCTTCACGTGTAGTTCACATGCACTGTTTACATTCGCTTTGGATCTAGAGTTAGGTGCCAGCCTGTCCTTTTGTGTGATGTTTTGGACTCGTATGTGATCGACTAGCAGCTCACATGATGTGGTACTAGAATGCAAAACCTACACTCAACATGTTCCATTGTTTGAATATCTCTGCAGTGGACTTGTGTGCCTACATAAATTAATGAGCATTGATTTCTTATAATAACGGTTTAAGATTTAATGTTGAGATACTTTGTTGTTGTACCTTACATCTTGATTCACTTCTGTTGTAGGGTGCCTACTACATACTATTATTATAATATTTTTGAGAAACCATATACTTGTTTTACAGTAAGGGGTTACACTTTTCAACGCTATATTCAAACACACACAATGAGTTGAAGGATTTGTGTACAAAAAATTGATCTAATCGTTGAGTGTAATATATGAAGTCTCATTATGAACGACGTAAAGATGCGTACATATTTCCGTTGCAACTTGTGATTTTGGTTCCAATGTGTTTCACACCATGTGTTTTGTTCTTATTGATACTATGGTGGAATTTGTGGTTCCTATGTTGCCGTTGAAGTTTGCTAGAAGCTGAAGCACTAACCTAATTAAAATTAACTTGTTAGGGAAAGAACATTGGCGGGGATAGCTCAGTTGGGAGAGCGTCAGACTGAAGATCTGAAGGTCAGGTGTTCGATCCACCTTCACCGCATTTGATTTTGTTTTTATTCTAACATTATTACTATTTTTTATTTTCTATATTTTTTTATACCAATATAAAAAAAT